TAGGTCCTCTACTTGTGACTTTTTGCTGTTTAATAGAACTATACCTATACATTTATTAAGATATACACTACAAGACATATGATATGGACTGCTGCTTTAAACTGTAGTAAAGACACCACAGGTGTACATAGAGCTAACATTACAATGCCTCTCTTTCTCTTCCATGTGAAGGAAAATAACATTGAGGTCCTTGACCTGAGCACCTCTCCCACAATCCAAAAGGCCCTCACAGATATTGAGGCCACGGTGAAGTCCACGATGAAGATGAAGATCATGCCAAAGCAGCTTGAGGCAAAGTCAAGCATATCATCACCTTGTTGCTTTCTCAAGTAGATCACCAAGCCTTTCAGGAGGAAGTCTATTTGGAGACATCTGCTATCGTCGACGACACCAAGATCTTCTGTGGTCAATTCACTGGGTCCAAGTCACTGAGAAGGAGGCGCTGTCTAACACTCGGCAGTCCATTGATGCCTACAAGGTGGCCAAGGCTGTCATCAACAACCTTGAGCAGGTGCTAGGCCCAAAACCAGTGCTGGCGAGAGCACTGGGAATCGGGTCCCTGCTGGTCTGTCAGAGAAATCATGGCTCACCTGAGGCCTTCCCTGACTTTCGCCAAGGGCACTAAGAAGAGTGACAACCAGCCATACAGTATTAACATCCCGGTCAAAAGAGAGACCGGATGATATAGGTATGATAACACAGTTATTGTTGGTATGTTACATTAAGAACCAGGCGTAGTCTCTTGTAAATGACTTGCATTCCACAATGTTCTTCCATTTACAACTTCACAACAATATCCAATGTTGAGTACACAGCTACATGTAACAGTCAGCTAACCAGTTGGACAATAACAACTTGAACTCTTCACTTTCGTTCTAACATTTCCTATTTTGTCATATTGTAATTTTCCCCAGACAAGACCAAGCTAGAGCTTTGCATTGAGAAAGTGACAGCTGACAGAATGAAGGAACTCTTCACCTCACTTAAGAAGGTAAGCTACATTACACTTTTCTGTATTACAGTGCATTCAGAAAGTATTCACACTCCTTGACTTTTTCCACATTTTGTTGTGATCAGCCTGCATTTAAAATTGATTAAATTGAGATTTGTTTGTCACTGGCCAACACACAATACCCCATAATGTCAAAGTGGAATTTTGTTTTTCAAAACTTTTACAAATTAATTAAAGTATTCAACCCTTTTGTTATGGCAAGACTAAATAAGTTCAGGAGTAAAAATGTGCTTAACAAGTCACATAATAAGTTGCATGGACTCACTGTGTGCAATAATAGTGTTTAAGATGATTTTTGAATGACTACCTCATCTCTGTACCCCTCACATACAATTATCTTTAAGGTCCCTCAGTCGAGCAGTGAATTTCAAATACAGATTCAACCACAAAGACCAGAGAGGTTTTCCAATGCCTTGCAAAGAAGGGAACCTATTGGTAGAGGATGGGTAATGGCCAATGGTGATTTTAAAACAGTTAGAGATTAATGGCTGTGATAGGAAAAAACTGAGGACGGATCAGCAACATTGTAGTTACTCCACAATACTAACCTAACTGACAGAGTGAAAAGAAGGAAGCCAGTACAGAATAACAAATATTCCAAAACACGCATCCTCTTTGCAATAAGGCACTAAAGTAATACTGCAAAAACTGTTGCAAAGCAATAGTTTTTGTCCTGAATACATTTACATCATTTAGCAGACGCTCTTATCCAGAGCGACTTACAAATTGGTGCATTCAACAAAAGTGTTATGTTTGGGGAAAATACAATACAACACATTACTGAGTACCTCTCCCCATATTTTCAAGCATAGTGTTGGCTGCATCATGTTATGGGTATGCTTATAATCGTTAAGGACTGGGGAGTTTTTCAGGATAAAAAATCAATGAAATTATGCTAAGTACAGGCAAAATCCTAGAGGAAAACCTGGTTCAGTCTACTTTCCACCAGACACTGGGAGATGAATTTACCTTTCAGCAGGACAATAACCTAAAACACAAGGCCAAATCTGCACTGGAGTTGCTTACCAAGAAGACAGTGAATGTCTTCTGAGTGGCCGATTTATGGTTTTTATTTAAATCTGCTTGAAAATCTATGGCAAGACTTGAAAATGGTTGTCTAGCAATGATCAACAACCAATTTGACAGAGCTTGAATAATTTTTTTAATAATAATGGGCAAATATTGTACAATGCATGTGTGCAAAGCTCTTAGAGACTTACCCAGAAAGACACAGCTGTAAGGTGATTCTAACATGTATTGACTCTAACATGTATGTGAATAATTATCTAAATGAGATATTTCTGTATATAATGTTTTATAAATTAGCAAAAATGTCTAAAAACATGTTTTCACTTTGTCATTATGTGGTATTGTTTGTAGATGAGGGAGAAAACCAATCGATGTAATACATTTTGAATTCAGGCTGTAACACAACAAAATGTGGAATACGTCAATGGGTATGAATATTTTCTGAAGGCACTGTATATCATTGATAGTATCAGTAAATTTGGATGGTGTCTTTCCTGTCCTGTACTGATCTAAAAGGTTGCAAAAATAAATAAAAAAAGATAGCTCCATGCAGTTTTTTTTCCCCACTTACCAGCTCTGTTTTTTTTTCACAGGAACACAAACCCCTCTGGATGGAGGGCAATGATGGAGGAGGAAAATAGGAAAAAGGAGAAGGAGAAGAAAAAGTGCTGCTGGTTCTGCAGACTGTTTGTCTGTAAGAAGAGAACTGGGAATGACTACTGGACGAAGGACATGCGCAGGTTACGGAATTGTGTCTGTTATAGTCTAGAATGGCATTCAGACAAACCAAGCTTATTGACGCACACACAGTTACAACATAGCCTACCTCAGACTACAAACACAAGACGTGTAACCTTTCTAATAACATGTCTTATTTTTTCCCTGTTGACCTGAATTTTACTTACAGTATGTAAACATTAAAACATTTTAAAAGTATGCATTGACCAAATCACATAATAAAAAACTATTTTTATAAATGGGCCTCCTTTGTCTTTAATGCGCAATCATACATGTATTATTGTTCTGAATAAATGATGTAGCCTGAATAAAATAAAAAAAGTGGAATAAGTCACACAGTGCAGTGCGCCTCGTAAATGGATTGATGTCCTCGGTATGAAATGATCAACTTTACCCTGTATATCTAAAAATCACCATATACACTGATTGTTTATTGCAAAACTACCAAACCTATTGCTGATGGTGAACCTGAACAATCAAAATAAAATCTATAGTAAGCCCCGTTCAGCAGGTAGCCAATAGCCAGATGAGATCCACTGGGCACAGACGTAATTTCAACGTCTAGTTTTGGTTTATATTTGGTTGAGTTGTCAACTAATGTAAATTCAATGTGATTTTCTAAAAATGTATTTTTATTTTTATGTTTTAAGAATTTTGATTCAACCAGTTTTTGCCCAGTGGGGAGTTGTGTCTCCAATAGCTTACTTTTATTCCGGTAAAACACCATTTTCAACAGCGCATAGTCATAAATAATATTAACCTAGCAAATGACATAGGTTGTCACTCAACTAATAAAGCCTAATATCACGCAATATATTTTAGCATTTGAATGCTGAAGGCGCAGTGCAAGATCAGGAACAGGCCACCTACCTCGCGTTGGTCAGCGCGCAAAGCAGTTTGACAAGGCTACTGATATTCCCTGGGTTGTTCAGCATGCAAAATAACTGTCAACACAGTGACATGCTTAGTTCGACACTGAAGGAGAGAGGATGCATCAGTTGTCACAAAATATTAGGTATTTTTGGAAAGTAGAAAGAAAGTAATATGACAAACATTTCAATTCGTAACCTTTGAATAGATTTTCTGACCGATGCATGCTACATTTGGATAATTTGGGGTCTGCGGTCAGATGCAGTGGTACATTATCTTTGTTACTTCCCTACCTGACCTTCTGCATTATATTCATTACTTTTTTGTCATTCTATTACTTTCAATTCACTCTATTACTGTTCTGAATGTCATTCATGTTATATTCGGTCATTCAATCCTCATTATAAATGCTTTGTGTGTAATTTATGAAGTGTGTTGTGAGAGTCTCGGTAATGGTGGATGAGCGAGGTGGCTGTTTTTAGGAGTTGAAGCTGACTGTTGAATCTCACACCCTCCTGGTCAATCTCAAGCCTCTGACCACACACACAGACACAAACCACTGTCTGTAGATCTCTGGACTTGAGTGAGTACTGGAGGAAGTGTGTGTGTGTGTGTGCGTGCATTTACGTACGTGCATGTACGTGCATGTGTACTTGACTCTCCCTGCAGGGTTACCCAGTGGAATTCTCCAGTGAATCTGAGGAGGATCATTGGTTTGGACTGGCGTTGGGTTCGGTATGTATTTCTTCTTCTCTTTAATCCTGGTGAACTTGTGTGTGTGTGTGAAATGTGCGTCTGAATGGAAAACTGAGACTGACATTTGATGTGCGTGAGTACGTCTTTGGGCGTGTTTGTATGTTTGTGTCTGTGCGTGCGTACATCTACATGTGTGTGTGGCGTTTACTCGTTTGTGTGTGTGTGTGTGTGTGTATGTGTGTATATGTATGTGTGCGTGCGTCTACGTGTGTGTGTGTGCGTTTACTCGTTTGTGTGTGTCTGTCTGTGTGTGTGTGTGTGTGTGTATGTATGTGTGCATGCGTCTACGTGTGTGTGTTTCTGTGACACTGATCTTGATGTCTTCTGTCTGACACAGCCAGTCCGACTCTCACCAGGACTCAACAGCCCTGCTGACAGACAGACATCACGCTGACAGACAACACGCTACATGTTAACAGGACACAGCGCACACAAGCTACAGACGGGAAACCTGAGACAGTGTGACACACTGATCCTTGGTCAGTGACCTTAAGACAGAGACTGACCTGCGGAGACACAGACAGCTCTGAAAACTGACCTCAGACCAGCCCAAGGTGACAGGAATGATATCACACAGCAAAGACAAAACCCTATTATGTCAGAGAGAGATGAAGAGATAGAGAAAGAGGAAGAAGAGGAGGAAGAAGATGAAGAGAAAGAGGAGGAAGAGGAGGTGTGTCCTGTATGTTTCAGTGAGTTTGACAGTTGTCTCCACCCTCCCTCCACACTACCATGCGGTCACACCTTCTGCTGGCCCTGCCTGCTGCACCCTAGCCTAGCTACATCAGGACGGATACACTGCCCTCTCTGCCGACAACCAGTCTGGGACACACACACTCATGGCAGGAACATACACGCACACCACAGAGACACACAATTCCCCCCCACAAACACACATCTCTCCAGCAGGAACACACACATCTCCCATAGGAATCCACTCACACAACAGGTGGCACAAACAACCTTCTCATCTCTTAGAAGCTCTCACCCTCGCTCACACACAAACCTGCACTCACACACACCGCATAGACCCCAGTCGCTCACACACACACCAGACAGACCCCAGCCATTCACACACACACCACAGAGGAGTGTGGTTAGCCATCGCCCAGTGTTGCTGTTCCCCACCCATCCTGTAGGTGTCAGTGTAGTATCAGAGGGCTGGCTAGAAGGGCGCTGTACTCTGTGTTGTCAGCCTCTCTCTAATGAGTCATCATATCCTCTAGACTGTAGACACTTCCTGTGTCCACGCTGTCTCGGCCTGCTATTGGCTGTGGCTTCCCCAGTGGGACGGGTGTATTTCCTCTATTGTCCCCAGTGCCAGGGACAGACTGCAGTACTCAGAGGGGAGACAAACACAGCCTTACACTTCTCCTTACCCATTTCTTCTTATTGTTCTTCCTTTCCATCATCTGCTTCCTCACCCATCTCTCCCTCCTCTCCCCCCTCTCCCCAGGCAATAGCCTCCTCTAGGGGAGAGAGTTCCAGCCAGGGTAGCCAGGGCAGAGGTTGTGGTTGTAGGGGAGGGACTCTCTGTATGCTGCTGTAGAGGGGAGATGAGCCTCCAGTCAACCAAAGCCTGGGGCTGGAGTAGGGAGGGAGGCCAAGTGAGAGGGCATGATGTTGGGTCTGAGTCAGATGGTGAATGGATGTCACTGCTCTGCTCAGGGCAACTCTCTCTCTACAGCATGACTGACCCTCATGTCTGACCTTTCATATGAGACACATGAGACTGTGACTTCACACGCACGCACTTAACACAAACACACACACATACACGCATAGAATATTTACACGCATACACACACACACACGAAGCCTTATGTTATGCTGTATGTATAGTGTATGTATCTCATTGCTCATCTGGTTGTCCATAAATAGAATAGAACATGCCTTCAGGCAGAGATGTTCTTTACTCATCAGATCTCTGGGCTGGTTCATCGGTTTGCGTACAACCTCAACCTTAGAGCAAACAAAACAACAGTGGTGCATGTCATTTTTTACTCTCACCTTCAGGACACAGGTGTGTTAGAGTGATAGAAAATGAGGGTTTAGTACGTGTGTATTGGTGTGTTTGTTAGTAAGCCAAGTTAGCATTGCCAGTATGCAAGCCTGTTGTGTGGGTGCATGTGTGGGTCAGTGTGTGTGTATGTGTGTGATGGTGTGTGTGTGTGTGTGGGGGGGGGGGGGGGGGGGGGCTGGGCTGGGGGGCTGGCGTTATGTGAACACATTAACTCCACCAAACTGAACAGAAACAGGGAGCACTAGATTAACACGCTCTAATGACACCGTGGAACACACACAAACACACACACACCCTGCTCATCTGGGCTAAGCTCCTGTGTGGCTCAGTTGGTAGAGCATGGCGCTTGCAATGCCAGGGTTGTGTGTTCGATTCCCAAAGGAGGCCAGTCTGAAAATGTAGGCACTCATTACTGTAAGTCGCTCTGGATAAGAGTGTCTGCTAAATGACTAAAATGTGACATTTCTAAGGGACTGGCCTCCAATTTTTTGTTGTTGTCAAAAGTTTTCTTAAGGGGCCTGCTCTGTGCATTGCTCTTCAGGTGTGAATCATAAACCTTTTGCGTGCTGAGTTAAGGACAATAAATAACATAACTAGTCCATCTGTTTGATATTTTAATGCTTGAAATGTTCTCTGATCACAGACAATATGCTGTCATGTTTCTTATATTGCAGTGTTTATGTGTAGTGTATAGACCTACACTCTTAAAAATAAAGGTGCAAGTTGGAACCAAATAAGGTTCTTGAGAGCGATGCCATAGGGGAACCATTTTAGCGTTTCTGAAGAACCAGAAAAAAATCCAAAACCAGAAAATGTTCTGCCCTCCAGGACCGTAATTGAATAGCCCTGCTGTAGGGTTTTAAGCCTTATTTGCATATTTCCCAGGATGTCTTTCGAGTGAACTTTAGTTACCAGTAGTACCAACCATGACTGTGTTTGCTAGTGACAGAGACATAGTTGTTGCATTCGTTCATTTTCAGTCCTGTGGCCTTAAACAAGTGAGATCCTAAGTGAATAAGTTGTCATTAAAATTACATTATTTAAGACAATACAAAACATATTTCATGAGGCCTTCTTTTGAGGGCCTAGCTTTACCCTAATACAGTGGCCTGAAACTCATAGTTTATAGGCCACATCAGACCTGCAAGTCAAATTATGCTGGCTTGCAAAGGTATATAATAATTCCAATATTTCGAAAACCTGCATTCTGAATGTCTGCCAGGGTTAGGAAAACTAAGATATGACACTACCTTAAACATCTCAACTGGAACACCATTTCAGTAAGGAACAGATTGGAATAGTTTAGAAAAATCTATGTTATTTATATTTTAGTAGCATAAGATCAATGTACATGCAAAAACATAGATACAAACAATTCTAAAAATCAACCTTCAATAGAGCATGCTGGGAAATATGATAATGATGATTGTGGTTTTGGTTAAACTCTAGTTATTAACACCAACACTGGGGTTATTTTACACCACTGAGGGTTAATTTAACTCTTTACAATGTTAATTTAACTCTTGAATCAACACTAGAAATGTTAAACAGAAAAATCAACTAGCTAACACTGGCCAATTTGCTATGTGCTATGAAAGGGACACATCTAAAGGCTTCCATACATTTCAAGAATTCTGAAGAACCTCAGATGCCACGTCAAGAACCCCACACTTAACTCAAAAGTTATTCATCGGACAAGAGAAGAACAATAACCTTTTTTCAGTGTATACACTCTTCGAAAAAAGGTGCTTTCTAGAACCTAATAGGTTTCTTCGGCTGTCCCCATAGGAGAACCCTTTGAAGAACCCGTTTTGGTTCCAGGTAGAACCCCTTTGGTTCCACGTAGAACCCTTTTGTGTTCCATGTACAGTGCTTTCAGAAAGTATTCACATCCCTTTACTTTTCCCACATTTGTTGTGTTACAGCCTGAATTTAAAATTGATTAAATTCAGATGTTTTTGTCACTGGCCTACACAAAATACCCCATAATGTCAAAGTGGAATTATGTTTTTCAACACTTTAACATTTTTATTAAAAATGAAAAGCTGAAATGTCAATAAGTATTCACCCGTTTGTTATGGCAAGCCTAAATAAGTTCAGGAGTAAAAATGTGCTTAACAGGTCACATAATAAGTTGCATGGACTCACTCTGTGTGCAATAATAGTGTTCTACATGATTTTTGAAGACATTGAATGTTCCTGAGTGGTCCAGTTACAGTTTTGACTTAAATCTACTTGAAAATCTATGGCAAGACCTGAAACTAGTTGTCTTGCAATGATCAACAACCAATTTGACAGAGCTTGAAGAATTTAGAAAAGAATAATGGGTAAATGTTGCACAATCCAGGTGTGGAAAGATCTTAGAGACTCACAGCTGTAATCGCTGCCAAAGGTGCTTCTACAGTGTATTGACTCAGGGGTGTGAATACTTTAGATTTTTCTGTATTTTGTTTTCAATAAATGTGCACAAAAAATACGTTTTCACTTTGTCATTATGGGGTATTGTGTGTATTTCATTTTCAATAAATGTGCACCAAAAAAAACATGTTTTCACTTTGTTTATTATGGGGTATTGTGTGTAGATGGGTAAGAAATAAATAATATTTAATCAATTTTGAATTCAGGCTGTAACACAACACAATGTGGAATAAGTCAAGGGGTATGAATATTTTCTGAAGGCCCTGTAGACCCCTTTCCAAAGAGAGTTCTACATGGAACCAAAAAGGGTTCTACCTGGAATCAAAAAGGGTAATCTTATGGAGACAGCCGAATAACCCTTTTGGAACCCTTTTTTTCTAAGATTGTAGTGCAGTGTTTTATAGTGTAGTAATCTGTGTGAGTGATGGACACAGTTGCTCCTTTTCCAATTACATTAGAATGATGGAGATGGATATACGCTCACAAAGAAGACAGAGTTATTCAGATTACAACCACTCACTTTCAGTTATTTGAAAAGGAAATAATCTCCAAGATATCACTATTTCTAAAACAAGCCATAGAAAGTTGGTTGCAATTTCAATTTAATCCTCCAGAAACGACAGAACAAATAATGCAACAAATATTGTGGTTAAACTCAAATATACTTTTTTGACAAAATGTTTAAAAAAGGTATAATCTTTGTAACTGATATCATCGGTAGGACTGGTGGAGTTATGTCGCACATGCAGCTAACAAAAACATATGGAAATGTCTGCTCTACCCAAAATTACAACCAAAAAATTGCAGCCTTACCGCAAAAATGGAAAAGGAAAGTGGAAGGAGGAGAAAGTAAGGAACTTGTCTGTCGGCCTTACATTAAATAACATAATTGGTTAAGGAAAACTGTGATAAATAAAAAGGTATATCAGTTTAATTTAAGGACCAAAGGATTGACAGCCGTCCCATATAGATTGCAAAATAGTTGGGAAAAGATTTTTGAAGTACCGATCCCATAGTGTTTATGAACTGATACGCAAAACGACACCGTATTCAAAACTTAGAATCTTTCAATTTAAATTATTATATAAAATTCTTGCTACCAATAGAATGTTATTTATATGGGGGATACAATCTTCCCAGCTCTGCAGATTTTGCTGCAAAGAGACAGAATCATTAGATCATTTGTTTTGGTACTGTCCATTTGTAGCTTGTTTTTGGACACAGGTCCAGGAATGGCTAAAGTATTGCAATATTTACCTGGAGCTAACCCTGCAGATAGCACTACTGGGTGATCTGAAAAGTCATAGTCAATCGATCAATAACATAATAATACTATTAGCAAAAATGTTTATTTTCAATTCACAATCTGTAGAAACAATGAGAATAGAAAGGTTCAGAACTTTTGTAAGACATCACAGTACAGTTGAAATGTATATGGCAAATATAAATCCTATACGGATGGTGTTAAAAGATAGATGGGAGGTGTTGAATGGAATTGAAGGATGGGACTAATAACAACTAACAACAAACAATAACAAGATAACTAATAATGTAGGCACGCTGTGTCCATAATAAGTGTATGGGTTGTAGGTTGGGAGCTTTTGTGAAGGATCACAGTTAGAAAGATATGGCATATAGAAGCAAACCGGATGGACATCATGAAAATGATCGGAGAGGTTGAGAGTAGAAGAAGTTCAGGAGAAAGAACAAACAAAATGTAATTACTGTAAAATTGACTGTGTCCATAAAATGTAGATAGTGGGTATGGGCTGGAAGTAGAGGCCTAGGCGTTGTTGTTCACTAGTTTACTCCAAGTGGGGAAAGGGTGGCGGGGTTGAAAAGTAATAAAGGGGAATATATATATATTTTTAAAGGATATGGATATGTATGTATGTACAGTGAGGGAAAAAAGTATTTGATCCCCTGCTGATTTTGTATGTTTGCCCACTGACAAAGACTTGATCAGTCTATCATTTTAATGGTAGGTTTATTTGAACAGTGAGAGACAGAATAACAACAAAAAAATCCAGAAAAACACATGTCAAAAATGTTATAAATTGATTTGCATTTTAATGAGGGAAATATTATTTGACCCCTCTGCAAAACATGACTTAGTACTTGGTGGCAAAACCCTTGTTGGCAATCACAGAGGTCAGACGTTTCTTGTAGATGGCCACCAGGTCTGCACACATCTCAGGAGGGATTTTGTCCCACTCCTCTTTGCAGATCTTCTCCAAGTCATTAAGGTTTTGAGGCTGACGTTTGGCAACTCGAACATTCAGCTCCCTCTACAGATTTTCTATGGGATTAAGGTCTGAAGACTGGTTAGGCCACTCCAGGACCTTAATGTGCTTCTTCTTGAGCCACTCCTTTGTTGCCTTGGCCGTGAGTTTTGGGTCATTGTCATGCTGGAATACCCATCCACGACTCATTTTCAATGCCCTGGCTGAGGGAAGGAGGTTCTCACCCAAGATTTTGACGGTATATGGCCCTGTCCATCGTCCCTTTGATGTGGTGAAGTTGTCCTGTCCCCTTAGCAGAAGAACACCCTCAAAGCATAATGTTTCCACCTCCATGTTTGACGGTGGGGATGGTGTTCTTGGGGTCATAGGCAGCATTCCTCCTCCTCCAAACACAGCGAGTTGAGTTGATGCCAAAGAGCTCGATTTTGGTCTCATCTGACCACAACACTTTCACCCAGTCTTTCTCTGAATCATTCAGATGTTCATTGGCAAACTTCAGACGGGCCTGTATATGTGCTTTCTTGAGCAGGGGCACCTTGCGGGTGCTGCAGGATTTCAGTCCTTCACGGCGTAGTGTGTTACCAATTGTTTTCTTGGTGACTATGGTCCCAGCTGCCTTGAGATCATTGACAAGATCCTCCCATGTAGTTCTGGGCTGATTCCTCACCGTTCTCATGATCATTGCAACTCCATGAGGTGAGATCTTGCATGGAGCCCCAGGCCGAGGGAGATTGACAGTTATTTTGTGTTTCTTCCATTTGCGAATAATCGCACCAACTGTTGTCACCTTCTCACCAAGCTGCTTGGCGATGGTCTTGTAGCCCATTCCAGCCTTGTGTAGGTCTACAATCTTGTCCCTGACATCCTTGGAGAGCTCTTTGGTCTTGGCCATGGTGGAGAGTTTGGAATCTGATTGATTGATTGCTTCTGTGGACAGGTGTCTTTTATACAGGTAACAAACTGAGATTAGGAGCACTCCCTTTAAGAGTGTGCTCCCAATCTCAGCTTGTTACCTGTATAAAAGACACCTGGGAGCCAGAAATCTTTCTGATTGAGAGGGGGTCAAATACTTATTTCCCTCATTAAAATGCAAATAAATTTATAACGTTTTTGACATGCGTTTTTCTGGATGTTTTTGTTGTTATTCTGTCTCTCACTGTTCAAATAAACCTACCATTAAAATTATAGACTGATCATTTCTTTGTCAGTGGGCAAACGTACAAAATCAGCAGGGATCAAATACTTTTTTCCCTCACTGTATGTATGTGTGTGTGTATGTATGTGTACAGTGGGGGAAAAAAGTATTTAGTCAGCCACCAATTGTGCAAGTTCTCCCACTTAAAAAGCTGAGAGAGGCCTGTAATTTTCATCATAGGTACACGTCAACTATGACAGACAAAATGAGAAAAAAAAGTCCAGAAAATCACATTGTAGGATTTTTAATGAATTTATTTGCAAATTATGGTGGAAAATAAGTATTTGGTCAATAACAAAAGTTTCTCAATACTTTGTTATATACCCTTTGTTGGCAATGACACAGGTCAGACGTTTTCTGTAAGTCTTCACAAGTTTTTCACACACTGTTGCTGGTATTTTGGCCCATTCCTCCATGCAGATCTCCTCTAGAGCAGTGATGTTTTGGGGCTGTCGCTGGGCAACACATACTTTCAACTCCCTCCAAAGATTTTCTATGGGGTTGAGATCTGGAGACTGGCTAGGCCACTCCAGGACCTTGAAAAGCTTCTTACGAAGCCACTCCTTCGTTGCCCGGGCGGTGTGTTTGGGATCATTGTCATGCTGAAAGACCCAGCCACGTTTCATCTTCAATGCCCTTGCTGATGGAAGGAGGTTTTCACTCAAAATCTCACGATACATGGCCCCATTCATTCTTTCCTTTACATGGATCAGTCGTCCTGGTCCCTTTGCAGAAAAACAGCCCCAAAGCATGATGTTTCCACCCCCATGCTTCACAGTAGGTATGGTGTTCTTTGGATGCAACTCAGCATTCTTTGTCCTCCAAACACGACGAGTTGAGTTTTTACCAAAAAGTTATATTTTGGTTTCATCTGACCATATGACATTCTCCCAATCCTCTTCTGGTTCATCCAAATGCACTCTAGCAAACTTCAGACGGGCCTGGACATGTACTGGCTTAAGCAGGGGGACACGTCTGGCACTGCAGGATTTGAGTCCATGGCGGCATAGTGTGTTACTGATGGTAGGCTTTGTTACTTTGGTCCCAGCTCTCTGCAGATCATTCACTAGGTCCCGCTGTGTGGTTCTGGGATTTTTGCTCACCGTTCTTGTGATCCTTTTGACCCCACGGGGTGAGATCTTGCGTGGAGCCCCAGATCGAGGGAGATTATCAGTGGTCTTGTATGTCTTCCATTTCCTAATAATTGCTCCCACAGTTGATTTCTTCAAACCAAGCTGCTTACCTATTGCAGATTCAGTCTTCCCAGCCTGGTGCAGGTCTACAATTTTGTTTCTGGTGTCCTTTGACAGCTTTTTGGTCTTGGCCATAGTGGAGTTTGGAGTGTGACTGTTTGAGGTTGTGGACAGGTGTCTTTTATACTGATAACAAGTTCAAACAGGTGCCATTAATACAGGTAATGAGTGGAGGACAGAGGAGCCTCTTAAAAGAAGAAGTTACAGGTCTGTGAGAGACAGAAATCTTGCTTGTTTGTAGGTGACCAAATACTTATTTTCCACAATAATTTGCAAATCAATTCATTAAAAATCCTACAATGTGATTTTCTGGAAAAAAAATTCTCAATTTGTCTGTCATAGTTGACGTGTACCTATGATGAAAATTACAGGCCTTCTTTTTTATACAAAAAAAAACATGGGGGATTGGAAGTGATGCAGACAATTACATTGATGGAAGTTACAATCTATCTGCAATATTAACCTGATCTACCCCCAAGAAAAAAAAGAAGAAAAAAAATAAATAAAAAAGAAGACATAGTTATAGCCTCACAGAGAGAGCAGGAAGGGGAGGAGGGGGGGGGGGGGGGGGTAGAGATAAGGAGAGGGAATCAGAGAGAGATTTACAGAAGGAGAGAATTATAACTAGAGAGAGAGAAAGATAACCAAGCAAAGAAAGAGACAGAGAAAAAGATGAATGCTATATTTCTAACTATGAAGAGATTGAGCGAAAGTCAGAGAGAGAGAAAGAGAGGGTGAAAAAGAGAGAGCGATAGCAGTAACAGAAAGAGAGGTTGAGTTATGACTCACACCTCCAGTGGTGCCAGCAGAGTGGACCCCTTCAGGGCTGGAGCCAGACGCACACAGACGCACACAGACACACACCCATCCACACTCAGGCCTGGGGCCAGACCAAGTGTCGTCCCTGTGACAGACGGCACTGCCCTCACCTCCATTAAATAGTAAAGACCTCTCACTGCCCAAACCACCCGACACCCTGACAAACACACACACACAGACACAAACACACTCACACAGAGACCGACCCGCACTCACACAAACACACACACACATGTCTGCAAGCCGAGTAGTCGAGAGCAGCCAGGGAGGAAAGTTAAACTAATGATTCCGATCGCCTCGTTTTACTGGCAGTTTGTAGAGAACACGATACAGCAGGACCGTTACAACACACACACAGGTTTGAATCTGGGTTATGAGAGAGAGAGAGAGAGAGAGAGAGAGAGAGAGAGAGAGAGAGAGAGAGGTTACAGGCCTGTAGTGGGTGGACTAGATGATGGAGAGGGAAATGAGACCTAGCATTACTGTTACTGTACATTTATAGGAGTTACACAATCACATGAATCACTGGTATACTGTAAGTGTTTATAGTTAGGAGGTTAGGGTTGTGACTAATGCACATGCCTATTCCACTGCAGTCTGTTAGATACTATTGAGTGTCGGTGCGAGCGCATGTGTGTGTGTTGAGTATACAGTAACTGTATTATGCCCTTGCTGTTGATACTGTTCATCAGGAATATAGCGCCTTCATAATAATATTAGTACTACCACGCCAGAGGGTGGTGTCCTATTACTGCAGGATGCTAGGTGTGTGTGTGTGTGTGTGTGCGTGTGCGTGTTTGTGTGTATGTGTATGTGGTACAACGTGGCATAAAAATGCTTGTCTCTATGTGTGTCAAATCCATAACTCACTGCATGCCCATTGTCATTTATTGTAAAGTAGCAGAAAGGCATACATTATTCACAGACAGAGGGACAGACAGACAGACACACGTGCCACCCCAGTGAAATTACTAAAGAGCTGGAGCAGCGTGTGTGGGGCGCTGATAACACACACATATATACACACACACTCTCTATCTCTGTCTCTCACACACACACACACACACACACACACACACACACACACACACACACACACACACTCACTCACTCATTCACACTCTGATAAACCCTGCTAAATCCTTGCGCAGCCTAGAGGCTGCCTGCCACGGCGAGGCTGGATTATTATTGACTCGTTTTAACCGGTAGACATTTTTATTCTAGTGCGACACTCTCTCATTCTTACGCACTCTCTCTCTGTCTCTCTTTGTCTCTCTGTCTCTCTGTCTCTCTGTCTCTCTCTCTCTCTATCTCTCTCTCTCTCTCTCTCTCTCTCTCTCTCTCTCTCTCTCTCTCTCTCTCTCTCTCTCTCTCTCTCTCTCTCTCTCTCTCTCTCTCTCTCTCTCAATTCAATTCAAGGGGCTTTATTGGCATGGTAAACATATGTTTACATTGCCAAAGCAAGTGAAATAGATAATAAATTAAAAGTGAAATAAACAATAAAAAATGGTCAGTTAACATTACACTCACAAAAGTTCCAAAAGAATAAAGACTTTTCAAATGTCATATTATGTCTATACATTGTTGAAATGATGTGCAAATAGTTAAAGTAAAAAAGGGAAAATAAATAAACATAAATATGGGTTGTATTTACAATGGTGTTTGTTCTTTACTGGTTGCCCTTTTCTTGTGGCAACAGGTCACAAATCTTGCTGCTGTGATTGCACACTGTGGTATTTCACCCAATAGATATGGGAGTTTATCAAAATTGGATTTGTTTTTGTATTCTTTGTGGGTCTGTGTAATCTGAGGGAAATATGTGTCTCTAATATGGTCATACATTTGGCAGGAGGTCAGGAAGTGCAGCTCAGTTTCCACCTCATTTTGTGGGCAGTGTGCACATAGCCTATTTTCTCTTGAGAGCCAGGTCTGCCTATGGTGACCTTTCTCAATAGCAAGGCTATGCTCACTGAGTCTGTACATAGTCAAAGCTTTCCTTAATTGTGGGTCAGTTACTGTGGTTAGGTATTCTCTCTCTCTCTCGCTCTCTCTCTCTCTCTCTCTCTCTCTCTCTCTCTCTCTCTCTCTCTCTCTCTCTCTCTCTCTCTCTGTCTCTCAATTCAATTCAATTTCAATTTCAATTTAAGGGCTTTATTGGCATGGGAAATGTATGTTAACATTGCCAAAGCAAGTGAAGTAGATAGTAAACAAAAGTGAAATAAACAATTAATATTAACATTAAACATTACACTCAGAAGTTCCAAAAGAATAAAGACATTTCAAATGTCATATTATGTATATATACAGTGTTGTAACAATGTGCAAATAGTTAAAGTACAAATGGGAAAATAAATAAACATAAATATGGCTAATGGTCGCTCTGGCTAATGATGGTCTTTAATGATGCCAAGGCTTAAGCTCAGCAGACTAACACAGTGTGATGCACAGGAGACCCAGGTTCAAATCTAGGTGGTCTGTCTCTCTCACACACACAACACACACAAGAGAGATCCTGTATCGCCTCTACAGTGTGTGGAACAATCTGTAACTGGACTCTCTGGTCCCTCTCAGGTCCGCCAGATCGCCTGTCCTCTGGATACACACAGACACCCTGTCATCTCTGTTTTATGAGGCAGCCTGGCCTCAGAGTCATACGTAACATAGTTTACGTATTTCTGGGCACCTCCAAGATGTATTAAACCTACTAATGGTCTAGTTACTTTAGACAGAAACGAAATGGGCGTAATCCACGATCGATCCAAAAGTTGCATGTTCGAGGCACGTCAGGGACCACTGTAGCAATTTAGCTAATACTTCCCCTAACCCTTCTTCTAAACTTAATCCAATTCACCTAATCTGCTACGTAAATTCCCCTAACCTTTCATCTAAATTATCCTATACTTTGTAGTCAGTTCACCAAACCACCAATGTAAATTCTCCCCATAATTCTCCTTTGTTGTTACAACGCAACAAGCAACCTGGTCTATACTATACATCCTCCAAGATGTATGACAATTTACATCATCCAATTCGTATGCTATTGTATGAATGGATAAGATGTATGATACTATATATCCTCAGATTCGTATGATATTGTACAACCGCTATTCCATTCATAATGTAACCTAACATACTACTGAATGGAATGTCACAGAATAATACGAATTGCCCAGAGACCACGTTGTATGGAGAGACAGAAATAGGAAACACCTGGTTACGTCACTATGGGGCAAACATAGTCAACTTGTGTGAGCGAATCACACACGGTCTAACGGACTCCTGACACACACACACACACACAGACACAGGGCACACAGCCCCCTCCCATCACTATTTCTATCTACACAGCTGCATAAAAGAGAGAGAGAGAGAGAGACGGGTGGAGAGAGCAGCGCGCACACACAACACATGCAGGCAGAACAGCCGAGAAGGCAGAAAAGGACGCACGCACTTCCAGTCACACTCTGGAATAACGGATTAGCCAGTGACATAGCGAGGCAGACGGTGATTATTAGGCTACTACATCTCCATTCAAAACAGGCGGTTTACTAGTACATACAAATCTCTTTTATAGGAACCGGGAGGAATCGCGTCCTGGAATTTTATGCATTTCACCATCCAGCAGTTTGGAAAAAAACAAACAATGCTTTCTGACGGCGACAACTAATTGACAAGGATGACATACCGAGGCAATGACAGAAAAGAGCGACTGAGCCTCTCTCTTTTATCTCATCTTTCTCTCCTCTCTCTTCTCTCCTTTCACGAGAATCTGAGCCCGATAAGCCTTAACGATTCTCACTCACCACGCGACCAGCGTCCGTCAGTAGGGTCACCTTCGGAATTAACGCGGGCTTCTTGTGGGCGTGCGTGGCGTGCGTTAGAGTGAGTGAGTGACCGATAGCCTTTTGGAGAGAGAAAAAAAGAGAGAGTCTGGATTTAAGCACGATCCAACCCTCCAGACAGCAACAGAAGCAGCAGCGGGAGCCGGTCCTCCAGAGTAGCCGTCTGGACTCACCCCCAGTCCCGCAGCCCCATGCAGGATGCCCGGGGGGGAGCGCTGGTCCTGGGGTATCCTCCTGGTCCTGCTCAGCCAGAGTTCATGACGCCCTGGTTGGCTTCATCATGCGTCTCCTGCCCGCTCCAAGCTCCCAATCCCTCCGGCTACTCTTTCTCTTTATCTTCGTGATGGGGGTTGCCCCTTACCCGGCACTCACGGCAGGATGCCCAGACAGGTGTGTGTGTGACGACCAGCTGGTGGTCCAATGCGCTGGGCAGGAGCTCACCCTCTTCCCCAACGACCTCCCTCTAGCCACCCGCCAACTCATCATTTCCAACAACCGCATCGGAGAACTTCCAGCATTACAACTCAACTACCTGTCTGATCTGGTCTACCTGGACGTCAGCAACAACACCCTGACGGAGATCTCCGAGTCCACCTTCGGGAATCTCCGAAAGCTGGCCTACCTTGACCTGTCCTTCAATACACTAACCCAGATTGAGGACCGGACTTTTGGACCGTTGTCAAGCCTCGTGATGCTACGGCTAACAGACAATCTGGGGCTAAATGAGATCCACCCGGACGCGTTCTCAGAAAACATTGCTCTGCAGGTGCTGGATGTTAGTAGGAACAACCTGACGACGCTGAACATCAGCTCTCTGATCGCCCTGCCCTCCCTGCGTTCCCTGGGGCTCAGCGGTAACCCTTGGATGTGTGACTGTGAGACGGAGGACCTCTGCCTCTGGGTCCAGATAGAAGGATTCAAGTTCCAAGGTGAGAATGGGGATGGAGCAGTTGGGGGGACTCTGTGTGTGTGTGTGTGTGTGTGTGTGTCTGTGGACCACTGTCCCTGTGTACAGAAAGCAGGATTCAAGTTGTTTTATGTTTGTTTATAGAGTATGGGTGACCTGTGCCAGTGTCTTGCTCATGTGCTTCTATAAATCTCACGTTATCACTGTCTTTAATTCAGCAGCAATAAACGTCCAGTTTGACAGATGCTCAGATAAAGTGCAGTCCTAATACTCAGGTGGTGAGTTATTAGGCCTGTAGCTTAGACTGTTGGCCAGCACCATGTGTTTTGTTATTGTACCATTCTAGCGAGTAAACAGGCAGTTGTCCTCTGCTGGGACGGCGACCCAGCGACGCTCCAAGGTCTTATCACTGCTTATCGTCACATCAACTCATTTAGCTAATTTGATGGTGGGCGCTCAGTCAATAGTCCCTGATGGACGGTTCACTCCGCTCTCTGCTCCCTGCAAGGCACGCCAGCCCTGTTATCACAACACACGCACACGCACACGCACACACACACACACACACACACACACACACACACACACACACACACACACACACACACACACACACACACACACAGAGTCAGAGCTAGAGCCTGAGCCAGATTGAATAATGTCACAGTAGCACAGGGTCCACAGTAATGGATTGGCCTCAAAGTCACAATGATCAGAGGACTTCAACACCCCACACACACTCACTCCTACCTCCCCCATGGCAGGAGAAAGCACAGAACGGAAAGAGAGCGAGCGGGAGACAGACAGGAGCTAAGCAAAGGGCAGAACACGAGAGCGAAGAGAAAAGCGACAGAAACAAGAGGAGCTACAGAAGCCGATTCGAAAACTCTCACCACCTCACACCCTCTTCTCTCCCTCTCCTCCCCACTCCCTCCTTCTCTCCCTCTCCTCTCTCTAACCTCCACATCACACAAATAACTCTCCCAAAACTCTGCAGAGATGCAGACGTATTCATTCTTAATGTCTATTGACTTTTCACACTATCTACGCCAAGAGCAGGACAGAGAGGAGCCTACAACGACATTATCACTTCTGCTGTCAGTCAGTTAGCCTACTCTCAAAATAGGAGCCTACTGATTTAGGTCTACTAAAGAGAGTAGAACATATATAACAGTCCTACTCACTGGAGGATAGTAGTCTAATTACTGACACTCAGATCAGTGGAGCATCCCACCATGCATCTGCTATGTGAGACTACTACAATAGTCTTCATGAAGAGGATTTAGCCTATTGGCACAGGTGGAAAGTCAGGGTTCCAGGTTCAAGCCTGTAAGTTGCTCTGGATAAGAGCGTCTGCTAAATGACTGAAATGTAAATGTAAATGTAAGCCTGGCTGTACATCTGAGAGGCCAGGGTAGAGGTACAGTATTGACTATGTCCACAGTCAGTGTCAGCAGACCTCTCTATCTTTATCTGTGATTCGGTCCTCTCCTCTCACCTCTATCTCAAAACTCATCATTTCGTCGTTATTATTTCCCGATGGTTATCGATGCGTCCACGCGTAAAATCTGAGCGAGAGATATATCGCTAGAAATAGAGGAGAGAGAGAGCGAGCGATAGAGAGAGACTAGAGCGAGCTATCTCTTCTATCCATATCTCTCTTATCTCTATCTAGCTTCTCATCTCTCTCCTATCTCTCTCTCTCTCTCTCTCTCTCTCTCTCTCTCTGTCTCTTTCAGTGCCTGTGTCAGTGTTTGTCCAAGTGCCGTATGCTGTAGTCACTCTGGCTAATGATGGTCTTTAGACAGGCCGGACCCTCACACTGCATACAGTTTTGTAAGAGTAGCATGTGTGTGTGTGTGTGTGTGTGTGTGTGTGTGTCTGTATGTGTGTGTGTGATTCAATCCACCCTAGCGTGTGTGAGTCAGTGTGTGAGGGGTCTCTGGTTGAGGAGACCCTGAGGAGGAGAACCTTTGGGAGAGGGGGAGGAGAGGAGAGGAGAGGGGGAGGAGAGGAGAAGGGGAGGAGGAGAACATAGAGAAAGGAGTGGAGGGGAAAGCAATGAGCTGGCTGGTGAACCTCAACCCTTCTTTGACCCCTCACTCTCCATGCACCTGCATCAGGTCCTGGTTACAGGGAGTCACTGGTACCTTGAACTAGACCAGACACCATGGCAGAGAAAGAGGGGATGAGACTTTATTTTTGTACAGTAATTTTGAGATGAAGCATCTCTCCCTTCTCCTTCTTCTCTCCCTCCTGTAGTATGGGATGACATGGATGTCTATTGATATGGCAGCCATATCATGTACACTAACCAGAGTGACAGTTGGGAGAGAGGGAATGGGGTCAGGAGAAGAGGGAGAGAGAGAGAGGGTGTGTGTGCGTTTGCGTGTGTGTGTTTGACAGGGGTCGGTGTACGTGACTGTGTGTCCTCTGTCTCATGTTATGACTGCAGGGCTGATAGTGTAATGTGTCGTTAGCTTTTACTCTGAGTGTGTGTGTGTTTGTGTGTCTGTGTGTGCGTGCGTGTTTGTTCCACCTGGGCTCCCGATGCTCTAACACGATTACTCAGAGCCCATTTAGAGCGTGTCCCCTCCCCCTTCCTTCTCCCTCTCCTCCTCTCCTCTCCCCTCTCCTTCCCTCCTCCCCTCCCCTCCTCTCACTACTGCATGCTATGAAAGAGACCATAGCCACATGAAGTAGGGGTGCTGGTAAATAATAATAATAACATAAATTATATACAGTACCAGTCAAAAGTTTGGACACACCTATTCATTCAAGGGTTTTTCTTTATTTTAACTATTTTCTACATTGTAGAATAATAGTGAAGACATCAAAACTATGAAATAACACACATGGAATCATGTAGTAACCAAAAAAGTGTTAAACAAATCAAAATATATTTTATATTTGAGATTCTTCAAAGTAGCCACCCTTTGCCTTGATGACAGCTTTGCACACTCTGTCAGAGGCTGATGTGGATGCGGTGTTGGAGTCAGGCGCAGGACACAGAAGCTTAGTCGATCCGACTTTAATAGTCACAGAGGCAAAATACAAAACAACGGGCCTCAACAAACAGGAGGCGAGCGATTACGCAAACAGTGCGTAAAGTGCGTAAAGCACGAACAACAAGAAAACAATAAACCTACACCAACGGACAGGCGTACAACAACACACAACTACAAACAAAACCAAAGGAAACTTATAGGTGACATAATCAATACATGATATGAAACAGGTGCACCAACCATACAAAACCAAACAAACATAGAGAACATCAAACGGTAGCAGCTAGTTCTCCGGGGACGACGAACGCCGAAGCCTGCCCGAACAAGGAGGAGGAGCAGTCTCGGCGGAATTCGTGACACACTCCTGGCTTTTTCTCAATCAGCTTCACCTGGAATGCTTTTCCAACAGTCTTGAAGGAGTTCCCACATATGCTGAGCACTTGTTGGCTCATTTTCCTTCACTCTGCGGTCCAACTAATCCCAAACCATCTCAATTGGGTTGAGGTTGGGGGATTGTGGAGGCCAGGGCATCTGATGCAGCACTCTATCACTCTCCTTTTTGGTCAAATAGCCCTTACACAGCCTGGAGGTGTGTTGGGTCATTGTCCTGTTGAAAAATAAATTATAGTCCCACTAAGCGCAAACCAGATGGGATGGCGTATCGCTGCAGAATGCTGTGGTAGTGTCACGCCCTGACTCAGGGGACGCTTAAATGTTGAGTCAGGGTGTGTATGTTCTATGTTGGGTATTTCTATGTTGGTGTTCTATTATGTGTATTTCTTTGTTGGCCGGTGTGGTTCCCAATCAGAGGCAGCTGTCGCTCGTTGTCTCTGATTGGGGACCATACTTAGGCAGCCTATTGGCACTAGTGGGTTGTGGGTTCTTTTTCCATGTTAGGTATGTTGTTTGTGTACCTTGGACTTCACATTTCGTTTCTTGTTTTGTCATTGTGTTTAATAGTCAAATAAACATGTAAGCATATCACGCTGCGCCTTGGTCCGTCCCGTCGATGAACGAACGTGACAGAAGATCCCACCAAACGAGGACCAAGCAGCGTGCCCAGGAAGAGCGAATTGCCATGTCACAGGTGGGCAAATGGTGGTCATGGGAGGAGATATTTGCGGAGAAAGGGCCATGGGCAAAGGTAGATGCCCAGGCAGGAGAGGAGCAACGGCAGCACAGAGGAAGCCGGTCGAGGAAGAAGCCAGAGAGACAGCCCCAATACATTTTTTTGGGAGGGCTAAGAGGGTGGTTGGCGGAGCCTAGGGTTAGAGCAGAGCCAACTCCCCGTACTCACACGAGAAGGCGTATGACTGGGCAAGCTCCATGTTATGCGGAGCTACATACTGTGTCGCCAGTGCGCCGGCACAGTCCTGTACGTCCTGTGCTTGCACCACGCACGTGCCGTGCGAAGATGGGCATCCAGCCAGGACGGGGTGTGCCGGCTCAACACTCCTGGTCTCCAGTACGCCTCCTCGGTCCCGCGTATCCTGCGCCAGTTCTACGAGCTGTATCGCCAGTGCGCGTGCACAGCCCAGTGCGTCCTGTGCCAGCGCCCCGCACGTGTAGTGCGAAAGTGGGCAGCCAGCCAGGACGGGTTGTGCCAGCTCTCCGCTCCAGACCTCCAGTCCGCCTTCGCAGTCCGGTCCGGCCCGTTCCTGCTCCTCGCACCAGGCCAGTGGTGCGCTTCGCCAGCCCGGCCCGGCCTGTTCCTGCTCCTCGCACCAAGCCAGTGGTGCGCGTCGCCAGCCCGGCCCGGCCTGTTCCTGTCCCTCGCACCAAGCCAGTGGTGCGCGTCGCCAGTCCGGCCCGGCCTGTTCCTGCCCCTCGCACCAAGCCAGTGGTGCGCGTCGCCAGTCCGGCCCGGCCTGTTCCTGCCCCTCGCACCAAGCCAGTGGTGCGCGTCGCCAGTCCGGCCCGGCCCGTTCCTGCTCCTCGCATCAAGCCAGTGGTGCGCGTCGCCAGTCCGGCCCGGCCCGTTCCTGCTCCTCGCACCAAGTAGGGCTATCTTCTGTATTTGTGGAATTTCTTTCCTTCTTAATGCATTTGAGCCAATCAGTTGTGTTGTGAGAAGGTAGGGGCAGTGGCGGCTCCTGAAAAAATTCTCAGGGGGGGCAATTTTTCTGATGATTTAGGTGACCTACACACATTTTAAAAAAGATATGTCCAGCAACAACATGAAGACAGGGGCAGCATATAAGTCAATACCAGAAGCATTTATTGACTGATCTCAAAAGTGTTGGCTTACCAGGGTTGGTGGAGCCCTCAGTTTCATCTTTGCCTCGCAAAGCTAACTCAAACACTCCGCAAAACTTCACACACTGGATTAGCCGGCTGAGGATGTGGCGGTTCTTGCTAATGTCGTAGTAAATATATTTGTTATAGTGAATATGGAATATGATATGTTGAGTAAAATGTTGTGCTAAGATCTATTTAGGTCAGGAGCTGGTTATAAGTTCTGTTCCTATCCAATAACAATGGACAAAAGGGTCCTATCTTGTCAGCCTTGTCAGTTTCAGTTCTCCAGTAAACTTGTGATTATCAACACTAACCTCATCGTTGTGGCGGCGGACAGCTAGCCTGTATCCCTCATCCAGTTGAGTGGGAATGTTCACTCTCCCCAAAGCAGACAATCTCAAACAGCTATCCATGTGGGTCTTTGACAGCTCATGTTTCTTAATCTTTCCTGAAAGATGGTGCATGTCCGTTACACACCAGTCGCTGTCCAAGCGGTGCTGTCTGCCGTGCCACCTTCAGGATGAAAGAGTAAGCAGGGGGTAGCAGAAGACTGCATTAGCTACATCGCAGCCTGCTAGCCAGGTTTTTCGTTCGTACCAATTTTTGGAAAATCCTCGGGTGTAGGACTTCCCCCCTTTAGTAGAAACCTGTTGAATTATTAAATTTGGTCTGGGAGGTCCTAATTGTTTCGTTGCCAATTTATCTTCATTTGTTCGCCGACAAAAAGGAACTTCTTTCAAAGACACAATCGAGTTGCACTGAAGCCTAGCCATTTTGATAGAAGTAGTGAATTGATTGACGCTGCTACCTGCTCTTTTCTTAGTTACGTTCATGGTTATATGTTACGTATGACGAAAGCGCGTAAGTGCAAGCCCTCAGAAACCCATAGAGATTGTATTGAAAGCTCTGATATTTGAAAAAAATAGATTTTACATGGGAGTCTATGACAGACTTCTGGGCGATTTTCAACCTGACTGAAATCGCCCCAAAAGGGGGGGGGGCCATTTGAAGCACGACTTTAGCCTGATTGGACATTTAGTGGCACTGTGGCAGATCAGACGTCTAGATTACAACACTGATAACTACTGTTGCTGTGATATAATTGATTAGAAAAAAAAAACCTTCCTTTTCCCGTTTGGCAGTGCGTCGCCCATATCGCCCTATTGAACACACCGCCCCTGGGTAGGGGGGCTACCTTGTCACAACACAACTAATTGGCCCAAACGCATTAAGAAGGAAAGAAATTCCACAAATTAACTTTTAACAAGGCACACCTGTTAATTGAAATGCATTCCAGGTGACTACCTCATGAATCTGGTTGAGAGAATGCCAATAGTGTGCAAAGCTATCATCAAGGCAAAGGGTGGTTACTTTGAAGAATCTCAAATATAATATATATTTTGATTTGTTTAACACTTGTTTGGTTACTACATGATTCCATATGTGTTATTTCATAGTTTTGATGTCTTCACTATTATTCTGCAATGTAAAAAATAGTAAAAAAATAAAGAAAAACCCTGGAATGAGTAGGTGTGTCCACACTTTTGACTGGTACTGTATATATACAGTGAGGGAAAAAAGTATTTGATCCCCTGCTGATTTTGTACGTTTGCCCACTGACAAAGACATGATCAGTCTATAATTTTAATGGTAGGTTTATTTGAACAGTGAGAGACAGAATAACAACAAAAAAATCCAGAAAAACGCATGTCAAAAATGTTATGAATTGATTTGCATTTTAATGAGGGAAATAAGTATTCGACCCCTCTGCAAAACATGACTTAGTACTTGGTGGCAAAACCCTTGTTGGCAATCACAGAGGTCAGACGTTTCTTGTAGATGGCCACCAGGTTTGCACACATCTCAGGAGGGATTTTGTCCCACTCCTCTTTGCAGATCTTCTCCAAGTCATTAAGGTTTTGAGTGTGACGTTTGGCAACTTGAACCTTCAGCTCCCTCCACAGATTTTCTATGGGATTAAGGTCTGGAGACTGGCTAGGCCACTCCAGGACCTTAATGTGCTTCATCTTGAGCCACTCCTTTGTTGCCTTGGCCGTGTGTTTTGGGTCATTGTCATGCTGGAATACCCATCCACGACTCATTTTCAATGCCCTGGCTGAGGGAAGGAGGTTCTCACCCAAGATTTGACAGTACATGGCCCCGTCCATTGTCCCTTTGATGCGGTGAAGTTGTCCTGTCCCCTTAGCAGAAAAACACCCCCAAAGCATAATGTTTCCACCTCCATGTTTGACGGTGGGGATGGTGTTCTTGGGGTCATAGGCAGCATTCCTCCTCCTCCAAACACGGCGAGTTGAGTTGATGCCAAAGAGCTCAATTTTGGTCTCATCTGACCACAACACTTTCACCCAGTTCTCCTCTGAATCATTCAGATGTTCATTGGCAAACATCAGATGGGCCTGTATATGTGCTTTCTTGAGCAGGGGGATCTTGCGGGTGCTGCAGGATTTCAGTCCTTCACGGCGTAGTGTGTTACCAATTGTTTTCTTGGTGACTATGGTCCCAGCTGCCTTGAGATCATTGACAAGATCCTCCCGTGTAGTTCTGGGCTGATTCCTCACCGTTCTCATGATCATTGCAACTCCACGAGGTAAGATCTTGCATGGAGCCCCAGGCCGAGGGAGATTGACAGTTATTTTGTGTTTCTTCCATTTGCGAATAATCGCACCAACTGTTGTCACCTTCTCACCAAACTGCTTGGCGATGGTCTTGTAGCCCATTCCAGCCTTGTGTAAGTCTACAATCTTGTCCCTGACATCCTTGGAGAGCTCTTTGGTCTTGGCCACGGTGGAGAGTTTGGAATCTGATTGATTGATTTCTTCTGTGGACAGGTGTCTTTTATACAGGTAACAAGATGAGATTAGGAGCACTCCCTTTAAGAGTGTGTTCCTAATCTCAGCTCGTTACCTGTATAAAAGACACCTGGGAGCCAGAAATCTTTCTGATTGAGAGGGGGTCAAATACTTATTTCCCTCATTAAAATGCAAATCAATGTATAACATTTCTGACATGAGTTTTTCTGGATTTTTTGGTTGTTATTCTGTCTCTCACTGTTCAAATAAACCTACCATTAAAATTATAGACTGATCATTTCTTTGTCAGTGGGCAAACGTACAAAATCAGCAGGGGATCAAATACTTTTTTCCCTCACTGTAAATATAAAAGGCCTTTATTACTCCTGCATTATTACATACAGCCGGAAATAACTTTTGGATATCAGAGCGGCGGTAACTCACCAGCATTTAGACCAGAAATATAACTTTCCTGAATTGGATGCTTTGTTCGTACCCCCCAAGATGATTGAACTTATCCCAGAGGCTGCTCCAAGACGCCGCCGGAGGAGAAGAGGTATTCAGAGTGGACTTTTAGTCCGACTCAGGAGGCGTGCACACCATCCACCGCTTCTGAGTATATTACTTGCTAATGTTCAGTCCTTGGACAATAAAGTAGACGAACTCAGGGCGAGGATCTCCATCCAGTGAGACATCAGGGACGGTAAGATACTCTGTTTATGGAATCATAGCTCTTTCCGGTTATACAGTCCCAATCCATACAGCCAGCTGTGTTCTCAGTACATCGTGCAGATAGGAATAAAGAACTCTTCGGGAAGAAGAAAGGCGGAGGTGTATGTTTCATGATTAACTACTCATGGTGTGATTGTGGTAACGTACATGAACTCAAGTCCTTTTGTTCACCTGACCTAGAATACCTCACAATCAAACGCCAACCGCATTACCTCCCGAGATAATTTTATTCGGTCATCGTCACAGCCGTGTATATTCCCCCTCAAGCCGATACCACGACGGCTCTCAAGGACCTACACTGGACTTTGTGCAAACTGGAAACCGCATATCCTGAGGCCGCATTTATTGTAGCTGAGGACTTTAATAAAGCAAAAATCTGAGGAAAACGCTACCAAATTTTTATCAACACATTGCCTGCAATACTTGCACTTCAAAAACTCTCGACCATTGTTACTCTCCCTTCCGGGATGGCTACAAGGCCCTCCCCTGCCCTCCCTTTGGCAAATCAGATAAGGACTCCATTCTGCTCCTCCCTTCCTATAGGCAGAAACTCAAACAGGAAGTACCCGTGCTAAGGGCTATTCAACGCTGGTCTGACCAATCGGAATCCATGCTTCAAGATTGTTTTGATCACGCAGAATGGGATATGTTCCAGGTTGCCTCTGAGAATAATATTGACGTATACACTGACACGGTGACTGAGTGTATAGGGAATGTGTATAGGGGATGTTGTTCCCACTGTGACGATTAAAACCTATCCAAACTAAAAACATGGCTATATGGCAGCATTTGCGCAAAACTGAAAGCACGAACCACCACATTTAACCACGGCAAGTTGACTGGGGATATGGTCGAATACAGACAGTCCAGTTATGCCCTCCGTAAGGCAATCAAACAGGCAAACGGTCAGTACAGAGACAAAGTGGAGTCACAATTCAATGACTCAGATATGAGACATACAGTGAGGGAAAAAAGTATTTGATCCCCTGCTGATTTTGTACGTTTGCCCACTGACAAAGACATGATCAGTCTATAATTTTAATGGTAGGTTTATTTGAACAGTGAGAGATAGAATAACAACAAAAAAATCCAGAAAAACGCATGTCAAAAATGTTATAAATTGATTTGCATTTTAATGAGGGAAATAAGTATTTGACCCCTCTGCCAAACATGACTTAGTACTTGGTGGCAAAACCCTTGTTGGCAATCACAGAGGTCAGACGTTTCTTGTAGTTGGCCACCAGGTTTGCACCCATCTCAGGAGGGATTTTGTTCCACTCCTCTTTGCAGATCTTCTCCAAGTCATTAAGGTTTCAAGGCTGACGTTTGGCAACTCGAACCTTCAGCTCCCTCCACAGATTTTCTATGGGATTAAGGTCTGGAGACTAGCTAGGCCACTCCAGGACCTTAATGTGCTTCTTCTTGAGCCACTCCTTTGTTGCCTTGGCCGTGTGTTTTGGGTCATTGTCATGCTGGAATACCCATCCATGACCCATTTTCAATGCCCTGGCTGAGGGAAGGAGGTTCTCACCCAAGATTTGACGGTACATGGCGCCGTCCATCGTCCCTTTGATGCAGTGAAGTTGTCCTGTCCCCTTAGCAGAAAAACACCCCCAAAGCAGAATGTTTCCACCTCCATGTTTGACGGTGGGGATGGTGTTCTTGGGGTCATAGGCGGCATTCCTCCTCCAAACACGGTGAGTTGAGTTGATTCCAAAGAGCTCGATTTTGGTCTCATCTGACCACAACACTTTCACCCAGTTCTCCTCTGAATCATTCAGATGTTCATTGGCAAACTTCAGACGGGCCTGTATATGTGCTTTCTTGAGCAGGGGGACCTTGCGGGCGCTGCAGGATTTCAGTCCTTCACGGCGTAGTGTGTTACCAATTGTTTTCTTGGTGACTATGGTCCCAGCTGCCTTGAGATCATTGACAAGATCCTCCCGTGTAGTTCTAGGCTGATTCCTCACCGTTCTCATGATCATTGCAACTCCACGAGGTGAGATCTTGCATGAAGCCCCATGCCGAGGGAGATTGACAGTTATTTTGTGCTTCTTCCATTTGCGAATAATCACACCAACTGTTGTCACCTTCTCACCAAGCTGCTTGGCGATGGTCTTGTAGCCCATTCCAGCCTTGTGTAGGTCTACAATCTTGTCCCTGACATCCTTGGAGAACTCTTTGGTCTTGGCCATGGTGGAGTGTTTGGAATCTGATTGATTGATTGCTTCTGTGGACAGGTGTCTTTTATACAGGTAACAAGCTGAGATTAGGAGCACTCCCTTTAAGAGTGTGCTCCTAATCTCAGCTCGTTACCTGTATAAAAGACACCTGGGAGCCAGACATCTTTCTGATTGAGAGGGGGTAAAATACTAATTTCCCTCATTAAAATGCAAATCAATTTATAACATTTTTGACATGCGTCTTTCTGGATTTTTTTGTTGTTATTCTGTCTCTCACTGTTCAAATAAACCTACCATTAAAATTATAGACTGATAATTTCTTTGTCAGTGGGCAAACGTACAAAATCAGCAGGGGATCAAATACTTTTTTCCCTCACTGTATGTAGCTGGTACTCCAGACAATCACGGATTATAAAGGGAAAACCAGCAACGTCGCAGACACCGACGTCTTGCTTACGGACAAGCTTTACACCTTCTTCGCCCACTTTAAGGATAACACAGTGCCGCCGAAGCGGGCCGCTCCTGAGGACTGTGAGCTCTCGTTCTCCATGGCCGATGTGAGTAAGACATTTAAGGGATTTAACCCTCGCAAGGCTACCGGCCCAGATGGCATCCCTAGCCGCATCCTCAGAGCATGCGCAGACCAGCTGGCTGGAGTGTTTACGGATGTATTAAATCTCTCCCTATCCCAGTCTGCTGTCCCCACTTGTTTCAAGATGTCCACCATTGTTCCTGTACCCCAAAAAGCGAAGGTCACTGAACTATATGGCTATCGCCCGTAGCACTCACTTTTGTCATCATAAAGTGCTTTGAGAGGCTAGTTAAGGATCAAATCACCTCCACCTTGCTCGACACTCTAGACCCACTCTAATTTGCATACCGCCCCAATAGATCCACGGATGATGCAATTGCCATCGCACTACACCCTGCCTTATCCCATCTGGCCAAGAGGAATACCTATGTAAGAATGCTGTTCATTGACTAAATCTCAGCCTTCAACATTTTACATTTACATTTTAGTCATTTAGCAGACGCTCTTATCCAGAGCGACTTACAGTTAGTGAATACATATATTTTTTTATACTGGCCCCCCGTGGGAATCAAACCCACAACCCTGGCGTTGCAAACGCCATGCTCTATCAACTGAGCTACATCCCTGCCGGCCATTCCCTCCCCTACCCTGGACGACGCTGGGCCAATTGTGCGCCGCCCATGAGTCTCCCGGTCACGGCCGGCTGCGACAGAGCCTGGATTCGAACCAGGATCTCTAGTAGCACAGTTAGCACTGCAATGCAGTGCCTTAGACCACTGCGCCACTCAGGAGACACACTGCGCCACTCAGGAGACTCAGGAGACTTCAACACCCTCCAAGTTCATCATTAAGCTCGGGGCCCTGGGTCTAAACCCTGCCCTGTACAGCTGGGTCCTGGACTTCCTGACGGGCCTCCCCAGGTGATGAAGGTAGGCAACAACACCTCCACTAAACTGATCCTGAACACAGGAGCCCCACAAGGGTGGGTGCTCAGCCCCCTCCTGTACTCCCTTTTCACCCATGACTGCGTGGCGTTTTACGTCTCCAACTCAATCATCAAGTTTGCAGACGACACAACAGTGGTAGGCCTGATTACCAACAACGATGAGACAGAGGAGGTGAGGGCCCTGGCAGAGTGGTGCCAGGAAAATAACCTCTCCTTCAACAAAGCGAAGGAGCTGATCGTGGAATTCAGGAGACAGCAGAGGGAGCACGCCCCCGTCCACATCGATGGGGCCGCAGTGGAGAAGGTGAAAATCTTCAAGTTCCTCGAAGTACACATCACTGACAATATGAAATGGTCCACCCACACACACACAGTGTGGTGAAGAAGGCGCAACAGCACTTCTTCAACCTCAGGAGGCTGAAGAAATTCAGCTTGGCCCCTAGAAACTGCATTTGTTATAAAATAATATTATTTGTATTAGTGTTGCACCATTGTTCTTATGTAATATAACCATATACAATATCAGTAGCACATGTCTTAGAGTGATGGACTGTGCCATCCCCACGGCCTCCACAATGGATTAGTCCACTCAGACAGGCGTACACCATGATATACAGTGCCTTCAGAAAGTATTCAGACCCATTGACTTTTTCCACATTTTGTTACGTTACAGCCTTGTTGTAAAATTGATTAAAAAATATATAATCTCAGCAATCTACACACAATACCCTATAATGACAAAGTGAAAACAGGTTTTTTGAAAGTTTTGCAAATGTATTAAAAATAAAAAACAGAAATACCTTATTTACATAAGTATTCAGACCCTTTACTATGAGACTCGGAATTGAGCTCAGGTGCATCCTGTTTCCATTGATCATCCTTGAGAGGTTTCTACAACTTGATTGGAGTCCACCTGTGGTAAATTCAATTGATTGGACATGATTTGGAAAGGCACACTCCTGTCTATATAAGGTCCCACAGTTGACAGTGCATGTCAGAGCAAAAACCAAGCCATGAGGTCAAAGGAATTGTCCGGAGAGCTCCGAGACAGGATTATGTCAAGGCACAGATCTGGGGAAGGGTACCAAAACATTTCTGCAGCATTGAAGGTCCCCAAGAACACAGTGTCCTCCATCATTCTGAAATGGAAGAAGTTTGGAACCACCAAGACTCTTCCTAGAGCTGGCCACCCGGCCAAACTGAGCAATCGGGGGAGAAGGGCCTTGGTCAGGGAGGTGACCAAGAACCCGATTGTCACTCTAACAGAGCTCCAGAGTTCCTCTGTGGACATGGGAGAACCTTCCAGAAGGACAACCATCTCTGCAGCACTCCACCAATAAAGCCTTTATGGTAGAGTGGCCAGACAGAAGCCACTCCTCGGTAAAAGGCACATGACAGCAAACTTAGAGTTTGCCAAAAGGCACCTAAAGACTCTCAGACCATGAGAAACAAGATTCTCTGGTCTGATGTAACCAAGATTGAATTCTTTGTCCTGAATGCCAAGCGTCATGTCTGGAGGAAATCTGGCGCCATCCCTACGGTGAAACATGTTGGTGACAGCATCATTCTGTGAGGATGTTTTTCAGCGGCCCAGACTGGGAGACTAGTCAGGATCGAGGGAAAGATGAACGGAGCAAAGTACAGAGAGATCTTTGATGAAAACCTGCTCTAGAGCGCTCAGGACCTCAGACTGGGGCGAAGGTTCACCTTCCAACAGGACAATGACCCTAAGCACAAAGCCAAGACAACGCAGGAGTGGCTTCGGGACAAGTTTCTGAATGTCATTGAGTAGCCCAGCCAGAGCCCGGACTTGAACCCGATCTAACATCTCTGGAGAGACCTGAAAATAGCTGTGCAGCAACGCTCCCCATCCAACCTGACAAAGCTTGAGAGGATCTGCAGAGAAGAATGGGAGAAACTCCCCAAATACAGGTGTGCCAAGCTTGTAGCGTCATACCCAAGAAGACTCAATGCTGTAATCGCTGCCAAATGTGCTTCAACAAAGTACTGAGTAAAGGGTCTGAATACTTATGTAAACGTTTTTTATTTTGTATAAATTTGCTAACATTTATAAAAACCTGTTTTTTCTTCAGAATTATGGGATACTGTGTGTAGATATATGAGGAAATTAAAAAATATATATATATTTAGAATAAGGCTGTAACGTAAAAAAAGAAAGGGGTCTGAATACTTTCCGAATGCACTGTATATATATATATATATATATTTTTTTTTGCTACTGCTCGACTAAAGAAATCTCAGCCGACCAACAGCCTATTGACCAAACAATCGACTAGTCGACTAAATGGGGTCAGCCCTAATACAATTTCATTTGATTTTGATTTGATTTGTATGAGCGGAGAACAATACACGTCAGCGATGGAGGGAGAGTGACAGGGAGGGAGAGATGGGTGGGAGTGAATGGGATCGGAGAGATAGTGTAGAGCTGAGACAATCATGAGATAGAGCTGCAACTGTGTACCAAAGGAAGGGGGAGGAGAGGACAGAGAAAGGGCTAAAGAGAATCAGGCAGATCTTGGGCATTGAGTGCTGTGCCTCGAGGAATGCTTAGTTTAAGAGAAAGGTAAGAGAAAGACACTGGGTAAGAGAGGAAGGGAGGGAAAGTATAGTACAGTATGTCTCTCTCTCTGTCTCAGTCATGGGACGATAGAGTGGAGTGTCTGGTCACCCAGGCTGTGTCCTCTGAGGCATCTAGTGACCTGGACTGGGTGGTTGTTGGTAGTGTGGAAGAGGAAAATTGCATTTGTTATCTTCTATGGCCTGAAGAAGGGACAGGTCATTCTGTTCCTCTTAGTTTCTGTAAGATTGCTAAATCGCACTGTTTCAAGTTGCCCTTTAAGTTTTTGTAGTCTATTTTATAACAGAGTGGACATGTCCTTGGGATGATTTGTCTTTCTCTCTCCTTTACTATCTGTGGTGATAAGCAGGAGTACCGGACCCATTTGAAGGGCATGTGAAACGCCCCACCCATCCTTGGTCTATATAATATGCCTGTGAGAAGAAAGAGCAAGTTCAATTGAATGCATGTTCAAATAAAGCTTTTTTTATATTGAGATTGGACTGCCTCATGAGTAGGGCTGACCCCAATTAGTCGACTGGTCGATTGTTTGGTCGTAAGGCTGTTGGTTGAACAATATTATTTTCGTCGAGCAGCCCATCTCAGTGAACTAATCCATTGTGGAGACCTAGACCTAAAGCCAATTTATGCTTGATTCGAAAATGTGGTCGGAGGCTCCATAAGGAGGGTGTGACGCATTTGCGGAGCCTCCAGAGGCACGCAGAGGCCAAATCGAGCTCTGTACGGCATCGCCATGCGCCTCCCAATTTTTTTTACAATGCAGAGAGCTCTGTATAGCTCCGCATTGACATGATTGGTTGACAGTAGGTGGGAGCGGTACATCCTGTATAAACACAAACTCACTTCCTTGACAACAGCTCTGCACTGCTCCGCGAAGCGCAAGAAGTATGAATGCTCTGACTTCTGCTGAGGCCATATCACAGTAAATGCTGCATGGCCAATGCATTTGTCGGCTTGAACATGCGCCCAGATGCATTATGCACTTCTCTCTCCAGAATGCGCTATCTCCCGCCAATTTGTGCACATTCATTGTTTCATAACTTCATTGTGTGAATTGTTTGAATTTGAATGTTAGTGTATATCAATTCCCCATTACATATATCACCAGTAGTACATTTACCATTAATTCCTATAATTTCTAATGTACAATGTTTGTTACTTTGGTTATGGTCATTTCTTTTAATGCATTCAATATTATTATTCCAGTCTTCCTGTTCACATTGTCGGAGTGGACAATGGAGTTCACAACCTATGCTGCATTTGTGAGAAACAAGTTCTGTCAATTTAGTCATTGTCTTTTGTTTGGAGCGCTCCTGTCAATGTTGAGTAAGAAGTAGGCCTATAGCTACCTGGCCTGCGCGCAAATGTAGGCATATAAATGTGCCCATTTGGAGATCTGATACTTTTTCTGATTGGCTTAATGCACCACCAATAATGACCTGTGGAGCTTCTCAAAGTAATGTTTTCTTCACCTCAAACAGCAAGCAAATGAAGTCGGTTTTAACAGCCATTGAGAATTACAATCGTTCTTCAATGTATTTGAAAAATCTTTCCAGCTCTCTCCCTTTTGATAACCACTCAGCGTGAAAGGGAGAAATGTCATGCTCTGATCCAGTGGAAACGTCATAAAATAGGCTTCTTATCAGTGCTTGACTTGGATTGAAAAACTTTCCAGTACTCATTTTGGGTGCTGGTACTGTTCATATTTAGGTGCAGGAGCTTCACAATACCTTTAAACTAATATTCTATAAGAGGAATAGGACCTCAATGTCACGCCCTGACTCAGGACGCTTATATGTTGAGTCAGGGTGTGTATATTCCTTGTTGTGATTTTCTATGTTGTATTTTCTATGTTTAGATCTAGTAGGTATAGATCTATGTTGGCCGGTGTGGTTCCCAATCAGAGGCAGCTGTCGCTCGTTGTCTCTGATTGGGGACCATACTTAGGCAGCCTATTGGCACTAGTGGGTTGTGGGATCTTGTTCCGTGTGAGGTATGTTGTTTGTCTACCTTGGACTTCACGTTTCGTTTCGTTTGTTGTTTTGTCGTGGTGTTTATTCAATATAAATAAATGCATATCACGCTGCGCCTTGGTCCGTCCCGTCTGTAAACGATCGTGACACTCAAGCAGTAGAACATTTGAGTTGCCCGTACTCAGCGCCGGTGAGCTCCTGTCCAAGTCAAGCACTGCTTCATATCCCTTGCGCAAATAGCCTACAGCTGTGTCTGTCCAGAGCTCACTGCTGTTGGAAACTCTGAGGGCCCAGAATATTTTATACAATGTTGCAAGTTCGCTAGCACAAGCTTTTGGGCTGGATGGAAGTTAGTAGTTGATACAATGTTTCAAGTTTGTTGCAGACAGGCCATGTGTAGCCAATGTGATTTAGAGGATATTTATTTTTATCAGGATATTTTCTACCTGCAGGATGGAATGTTTTTATTTGTTGGCTTTATGGAGGCTATTTTTACATAGTTGGCAATGGCAATAGAAGTTATTTTATTTGTATTTTTTTTTGGGAGGGTAGATCAGCTTAATATTGCAGATAGATTGTAACTTCCATCAATGTAATTGTCTGCATCACTTCCATTCCCCCATGTTTTTTATATATACAGTGGGGAGAACAAGTATTTGATACACTGCCGATTTTGCAGGTTTTCCTACTTACAAAGCATGTAGAGGTCTGTAATTTTTATCATAGGTACACTTCAACTGTGAGAGACGGAATCTAAAACAAAAATCCAAAAAATCATATTGTATGATTTTTAAGTAATTAATTTGCATTTTATTACATGACATAGGTATTTGATCACCTACCAACCAGTAAGAATTCCGGCTCTCACAGACCTGTTAGTTTTTCTTTAAGAAGCCCTCCTGTTCTCCACTCATTACCTGTATTACCTGCACCTGTTTGAACTCGTTACCTGTATAAAAGACACCTGTCCACACACTCAATTAAACAGACTCCAACCTCTCCACAATGGCCAAGACCAGAGAGCTGTGTAAGGACATCAGGGATAAAATTGTAGACCTGCACAAGGCTGGGATGGGCTACAGGACAATAGGCAAGCAGCTTGGTGAGAAGGCAACAACTGTTGGCGCAATTATTAGAAAATGGAAGAAGTTCAAGATGACGGTCAATCACCCTCGGTCTGGGGCTCCATGCAAGATCTCACCTCGTGGGGCATCAATGATCATGAGGAAGGTGAGGGATCAGCCCAGAACTACACGGCAGGACCTGGTCAATGACCTGAAGAGAGCTGGGACCACAGTCTCAAAGAAAACCATTAGTAACACACTACGCCGTCATGGATTAAAATCCTGCAGCGTACGCAAGGTCCCCCTGCTCAAGCCAGCGCATGTCCAGGCCCGTCTGAAGTTTGCCAATGACCATCTGGATGATCCAGAGGAGGAATGGGAGAAGGTCATGTGGTCTGATGAGACAAAAATAGAGCTTTTTGGTCTAAACTCCACTCGCCGTGTTTGGAGGAAGAAGAAGGATGAGTACAACCCCAAGAACACCATCCCAACCGTGAAGCATGGAGGTGGAAACATCATTCTTTGGGGATGCTTTTCTGCAAAGGGGACAGGACGACTGCACCGTATTGAGGGGAGGATGGATGGGGCCATGTATCGTGAGATCTTGGCCAACAACCTCCTTCCCTCAGTAAGAGCATTGAAGATGGGTCGTGGCTGGGTCTTCCAGCATGACAACGACCCGAAACACACAGCCAGAGCAACTAAGGAGTGGCTCCGTAAGAAGCATCTCAAGGTCCTGGAGTGGCCTAGCCAGTCTCCAGACCTGAACCCAATAGAACATCTTTGGAGGGAGCTGAAAGTCCGTATTGTCCAGCGACAGCCCCGAAACCTGAAGGATCTGGAGAAGGTCTGTATGGAGGAGTGGGCCAAAATCCCTGCTGCAGTGTGTGCAAACCTGGTCAAGACCTACAGGAAACGTATGATCTCTGTAATTGCAAACAAAGGTTTCTGTACCAAATATTAAGTTCTGCTTTTCTGATGTATCAAATACTTATGTCATGCAATAAAATGCAAATTAATTACTTAAAAATCATACAATGTGATTTTCAGGATTTTTGTTTTAGATTCCGTCTCTCACAGTTGAAGTGTACCTATGATAAAAATTACAGACCTCTACATGCTTTGTAAGTAGGAAAACCTGTTCTCCCCACTGTATACTCCCCTTTATTACTTTTCAACCCCGCCATCCTTTCCCTACTTGGGGTAAATTAGTGAACAACTATGCCCAGGCCTCTACTTCCAGCCTATACTTACTATCTACACCTTATGGACACATTACATTTTACAATAATTCAATTTTATTTGTTTTTGCTCCTGAACTTCTTCTACTCTCAACCTCTCCGATCATTCATCATAGAAGTTACTTTTTAGGTTAGTATCATTTTCAATTAGATTTGGAAAGAATTTTGATTAACCACATGACAATGATTTTGAGATACAAAGATATTATTATAAATTAAATTAAGCTGTTTCACGAAAATGTGCATATGAAAACCATAACTGGCATGCAGATCGGTAGAAATTGTCAAATAAATTGTCATTCCACATGAGAAAGGTTGCCGACTCCTCGTGTAACTTATACCGGCAACTTCAGGAGAGTAATGGCAGAATCTGCGAAAGACGTCCTGGGGCTACGTGGTTGGTGTTGGGGATGTTGGGTGGAGTTGGGGCTGGAGGGTCAAGGGTGAGGGAGGGCTGTGTTGGGGCTAGGAGCTGGGGCTGAGGGACATACCAGTTCCCCAGCTCCCCAGACCAGCTCACAGACCTACAGGCACTGAACCAAAATAGAGGGGTGAGCACTGAGCAATAGTTAAATATTCATAAACAAAGAGAGACTGGGAGGGTGGGGGGTGTAGGCCTACATGTGACAAATATAGAGATAAATAAATAAAAAGAGAGAGCATAAGAGAGAGACAGAGTCAGAGAGAGAGAGAGAGAAGCAAAGAGAGAAAGAAAAAGAGAGAGAGAAAGAGAGGTTGTAGGGAAAATAAGGACCGGGGAGTTTTCTGTCTTTCATAGCACAGATCCATCCATCAAACTCCTAAATCCATTCATTATCATGATCTGCAGTCAATGATACCCAGAAGAGCTATTATACTATACATTATTAATCAGATGGAACAATCTAAAGATTCCCTGTGTACTGTTAAATATTTATGCTGTGTGTATGACTAAGGCATTGTTGTGTGTGTTTGCTCTAAGTTCTGAAGCAGGGTAGGGTTGGAGGGTAGCAGTGTAACGTAAGTGTGTAAGGGACAGATCAACATTTACTGGGGGACGCTGGTCCAACTCAAGGTGTCATAAAAAAATGAGCCCCCCTCCCCATCGTAAAAAATAATTTCACATGACCCTTCCCTTGTACTGTAAAATAAATTGAATTAACTCAAAATAATGTTTATGACCACAAATAACAATAACTGTAGCGACCCTGTGTTTATAAACATGGATATCTGCATTGCTTTTGTAGCACAGTTGATGCCACAAAGGGCTATGGGCCAGAAAGTTGAGAGTTCGCCGACCACCAAGGACGAGACTCTCCCTGCCTGTCTCATTACTTCACGATCAGTGCTGGTTGCAGACAATGATCAGCTAGGGGGAAATCAGATTTTCATGCCATATTTATAATTACACTACCGTTCAAAAGTTTGGGGTCACTTAGAAATGTCCTAGTTTTTAAAAGAAAATCAATTTTTTTGTCCATTAAAATAACATCAAATTGATCAGAAATACAGTGTAGACATTGTTAATGTTGTAAATGGCTATTGTAGCTGGAAACGGATGATTTTTAATGGAATATGTACATAATAATAATAATAATATGCCATTTAGCAGACGCTTTTATCCAAAGCGACTTACAGTCATGCGTGCATACATTTTTTAGTATGGGTGGTCCCGGGGCTCGAACCCACTACCTTGGCGTTACAAGCGCCGTGCTCTACCAGCTGAGCTACAGAGGACCACATAGGCGTACAGAGGCCCATTATCAGCAACCATCAGTCCTGTGTTCCAATGGCACGTTGTGTTTGCTAATCCAAGTTTATAATTTTAAAAGGCTAATTGATCATTAGAAAACCCTTTTGCAATTATGTTAGCACAGCTGAAAACGTTGTGCTGATTAAAGAAGCAATAAAACTGGCCTTCTTGAGACTAGTTGAGTATCTGGAGCATCAGCAATTGTGGGTTCGATTACAGGCTCAAAATGGGCAGAAACAAATAACTTTCTTCTGAAACTCGTCAGTCTATTCTTGTTCTGAGAAATGAAGGCTATTCCATGCGAGAAATTGCCAAGAAACTGAAGATCTCGTACAACGCTGTGTACTACTCCCTTCACAGAACAGTGCAAACTGGCTCTAACCAGAATATAAAGAGGAGTGGGAGGCCCCGGTGCAGAACTGAGCAAGAGGACAAATACATTAGAGTGTCTAGTTTGAGAAACAGGCGTCTCACAGGTCCTCAACTGGCAGCTTCATTAAATAGTACCCGCAAAACACCAGTCTCAACCTCAACAGTGAAGAGCCGACTCCGGGATGCTGACCTTCTAGGCAGAGTTGCAAAGAAAAAGCCATATCTCAGACTGCCCATCTTTATCTTTTCTTTTTATTGGCCAGTCTGAGATATGGCTTTTTCTTTGCAACTCTGCCTAGAAGGTCAGCATCCCGGAGTCGCCTCTTCACTGTTGACGTTGAGACTGGTGTTTTGCGGGTACTATTTAATGAAGCTTTTTACTATTTTCTACATTGTAGAATAATAGTGAAGACATCAAAACTATGAAATAACACATATGAAATCATGTAGTAACCAAAAAAGTGTTAAACAAATCAAAATATATTTTATATTTGAGATTCTTCAAATAGCCACCCTTTGCCTTGATGACAGCTTTGCACACTCTTGGCATTCTCTCAGCCAGCTTCATGAGGTAGTCAGCTGGAAATCATTTAAATTAACAGGTGTGGCTTGTTAAAAGTTAATTTGTGGAATTTCTTTCCTTCTTAATGCGTTTGAGCCAATCAGTTGTGTTGTGACAAGGTAGGAGGGGTATACAAAAGATAGCCCTATTTGGTAAAAGACCAAGTCCATATTATGGCAAGAATATCATTTGTTTAACACTTTTTTGGTTACTACATGATTCCATATGTGTTATTTCATAGTTTTGATGTCTTCACTATTATTATACAATGTAAAAAATAGTCAAAATAAAGAAAAACCCTTGAATGAGTAGGTGTGTTCAACCTTTTGACTGGTAGCTTATAAATGTAACTTTGTAGGCTGCATGTCCTGCACCAGCATCACATGTTCTCTCCCAGCTTCAAGGTTTGAAAGAGGTGCGTATTTCCAGTCCATATAATACAGTATAATACAATACAGTAATACAGTCCACACTCAAAAAGATTAGCTTACTGGACCTTGTTTCATTTACTTACCCAAAAGAGCATAGCTACATCTATGGGCTTTTATGTTTTTCTGCCGTGCGTAATGTGCAGTAGCCTATATCATAGGCTATGTATTGGATAACGGCACAATCATTTGGGCTTTTTGGGGGATTGGGATCATTAAATGTCTTTAATGTAGGGCTCATAAAATATATTTAATGTATGGCTCATCAGGCTCAGGTAGCATCAGACTTGAATTTTCATACCGATCAAAGCTAATCAATTCCAGACATATTAATAGGCCTATGCTTTAGAATGACACTTTCGGTTTGGGCGGGAAATAGTAACCCAGCAGAAAAGTGATTATTCTTGGGATCTAACATTTGTAAAATACTGGGAAAATATTCAACCCCAGTCTGTAGCTTATTCTTTAGATGTTTGGAGCTGCTGGTGAACCATGATGTGCAGGCATAATCAAAGTGACACTGGACTAGCACACTTGCCAGTCTTTAGGGTGTCTATAGGTTTCCATCCAAATGTTGACAGATTTTCATGCAAATATTCCACAATCAGCATAAAAACAATATGCACATTTCAGGGTTTCGCCAGACAATGTGAAGATATTTCATCTGTAGCCTAATAAACTGCATGCTTTCCCATATTGCAGAGTTAGCATATTGCAGATCTGGACAAACGATCCACCTACCACTATTGTTACTATGAATGGTGGATAGAGGGCAGGATGGAGCGTTAGACTGGTAGACTATATTGACCTGTGGTATAGTAAAAGTTAGCACACAGAAAAGCTTAGTGCATAAAGGAAGTACCAAAACACCTTGATATAGGGGAGGTGCATGCAAGCAGATGAGGAAATCTGGCTAGGATGCAAGAAATAACATATTAAAACCTGCAAAGGAGCGAATGTAAACCAGGGAAAAAACGCACTACCGTCCCCTGTGCCCAATAAAAAACCACACAACTCTCCCCTATTTTGGCAGCCAGGTCACCCATGATACAAGTCAATATTCGACGTTCATCCATGTCTGAGGATGTTGGGAGATGACATGGAAACTGGCCATCTGCCACTGATTCCAAAAGAAAGATTTTTATAACACACTAATTATGACAGTGCATATGATTGTGTGTGTGTGTGTGTGTGTATACCATGTTAGTGTACATATGGTAACTCTATAGAGGAGGAGGATGCTACTTGTGTCTTTTATTATTTTAATCTTTCCTCCCAACCTCATAGATGCAATAATCAGGCTGCTGAGGGGAGAACGGCTCATAATAATGGCTGGAACGGAGCCAATGGAATGGCATCAAACCATGTGTTTGATGTATTTGATGTCATTCCAACCATTCCACTCCAGCCATTACCACGAGTCCGTCCTCCCCAGTTAAGGTGCCACCAACCTCCTGTGGTGTGTGAGTAGCTGTACTGTGTGCTTGTGCATGTGTGTGTGTGTGCGTGCGTGCGTGTGTGCGTACGTGCGGTGCAAAGGAAATATTCAGCCTAGTTGATGTGATTAAAAAAGGTCAACTATTCTTAGTCAACCTCGCTCTCTCTCGCTCTCTCTCTCTTTAGCAGTCTTTCTTCATACAGCTAAAGAGAAATGCAGATTCTTTACCAAACAAAACCAGTTCTTGAGATAGAATGAAAAAGGGGATGGTACTCACTTAAATCAGATTTTTATATTTCACAGCCAGTATTCTATAATAATAATAGTGGGTGCTTATGTTTGTCCTATTTCACACATGTACAAGTGTGTATTGATACATATGTCTGAATTGGAAATGGTGTGTTATGCATATCCCAACTCCCCCTGAGACACCCTTAAGAGTGGGGTCACGACCAGGGTCAGCCATTATCAACAGCAACCCTGGAGCAATTAGTGCCTTGCTCAAGGCCACATCGACAGATTTGTCACCTTGTCGGCTCAGGGATTCAAACTAGCGACCTTTCGGTTACTGGCCAAACGCTCTAACCGCTAGGCTACCTGCCGCCCTATAAGAAGTGCTACTGGTAAGCACCAGTCCGATTCAACCAATGGGATCGACAGAAATGTTGTTTTTAGTCATACAGCCAAAGGAAGAGCTGTCTTCTTATTTAGTTCAGCTCAGCTACATAGCATTTGTTTGGAAGGCAAAAGCCCCCTTTCTCAGAATGTGCAGTCAAGAGCATAACCACATCAGTGGCTCTCTCACACACATGCAGTAGGACATACACACACACAGTTCCACCAGTCAAAAAGCTCTATTTTCATTTTGTTATTTTTTTATGGTAATAATAAAACAACAATGGAAATAGAAATAGCACTATATACATAATAACAACTGTAGCAGTGATGAATAAATAAATGTCCATTGGGCTGGAGGCAGAGTAAAGACTGTTGAGGGGGTGGGGGGTGGGGGGGATGGCCATAGGGGGAGCAGCAGTCAGACTAAATGACCATTGAGGGGGTGTGTGGACCAAGTTAAATAAAACAATGCAAATTATAATAAAAATAATAATATACATATTAACAACTGCAATAGTGATGAATGTCATTGGGGTGGGGGCAGAGTAAAAGTCAGTTGAGAGGATGGGGGGAAATGTCCATAGGGGGAGCAGCGGATAAGGTAAGTGACCATTGAGTGGGTGGTGGGGGGGGGAATGTTCATAGGGGGAGTAGCAGGGGGAGGGGTGATAAGGTAGCTGACTAGTGGTGGCTATTCAGTAGCCTGATGGTCTGGGGGTAGAAACTATTGGCCAGTCTTCTAGTTTTCGCCATGATGCGCTTGTACTGCCCGCATCTGAGTGATGGAAGCGGGGAGAACAGGGCATGGCTCGGGTGGCTGGGGTGTCCTGGAGGGCAGGCAGTGTGCACCCAATGGTGCATTCGGCTGCGTGTATCACCCTCTGAAGCGCCTTGCGGTCCGCGGCGGTGGAGTTGCTTTACCAGACTGTGATGCAGCCCGACAGTATGCTCTCGATGGTGCTCCTGTAGAACACTGTGAGGGCCCTCGGGGATAGGCCGAATTACTTCAGCATCCTGAGGTTGAAAAGTTGCTGTCGTGCCTTCTTCACCACAGTGTCCGTGTGGTTTGACCATTTCAGCTTCTCTGAGATGTGTACGCCGAGGAATTTGAAGTTATTAACTGTCTCCACAGCGGCCCCGTTGATGAGGATAGGGGTGTGTCCAGCCTGGTTCCTCCTGAAGTCCACAATCAGCTCCTTTGTTTTGCTGATGTTGAGGGAGAGGTTGTTTACCTGGCACCACACCGTCAGAGTGCCTACCTCCTCCCTGTAGACCGTCTCGTCGTTGGTAATCAGGCCTGCTACTGTCGTGTTGTCAGCAAACTTGATGATGGAGTTGGAACTGTGAGAGGCCATGCAGTCATGGGTATACAGGAAATACTGGAGGGGACTGTCATGCCGTTTAGCAAACTCATGCCGTTTACATCTGTTGGGTGACATGAAAATAGAGCTCTTTGGCCACGCACACCAGTGGTGGGTTTGGCGTCGCAATGTGAATGCATGAGCAGAAAATAACCCCATACCTACTGTAAAATATGGTGGTGGATCTTTGATGTTATGGGGCTATTTTGCTTCCACTGGTCCTGGGGCCCTTGTTAAGGTCAATGGCATCATGAACTTTACCCAGTACCAGGATATTTTAGTTAAAAACCTGGTTGCCTCTGACATGAGGCTGAAACTTGGCTGCAAGTAGATCTTCCAGCAAGACAATAACCCCAAACACACATCAAAATCCATGAAGAAATTGTTAATTGGCCTCCAAATCAATATTTTGCAATTGCCATCTCAGTCTCCAAACTTGAAACCCATTGAAAACCTGTGGTTTGAATTGAAGAGGCTAGTCCATAAACGCAGACGAAGGATATCAAGGATCTGGAAGGATTCTGTATGGAGGAATGATCTAAGATCCTTTCCTATGTGTTATAGAAAGAGGCTCAGTGCCGTTATCCCCGAAAGCCGGTTGAGGTATTGAAATATATTTACCCCTACCTTTTTGAGAATGGTCTTGCGCATTAACTCCGAATGGTTAAGTTAAGGTTTGGGATAGGCTTAAAACAAAAATATAAAAAACAACTTTCTATCGCTGTCACGCCCTGGCTCTGGGGACACTGTTATGTTGAGCCAGGGTGTGTAATTCTATGTTTGTATTTCTATGTTGGCCTGAGTGACTCCCAATCAGAGGCAACGAGTGTCAGCTGGTTGTCTCTGATTGGGAGCCATATTTAACTGTCTGTCTTTCACTTTGTGTTTGTGGTTTCTTGTTCGTGTTGGTTTGTGTTTAAACCGTAGACGTCACGTTTTCGTTTGTTGTTTTGATCGTGTGATCATTAAATAAATATAAATATGTTCACCTTCAACGCTGCGCATTGGTCCTCCTCCTTAGACGATCGTGACAGAAGAAACCACCAGAACTGGACCAAGCAGCCTAGTGAGGAGCAGAGTGGGTGGACTTGGCAACAGTGGATGCAGAGCTTCGACTGGGTCAAGCCGAATGAGGAGCTGAATGGCGGAGATTGGAAGCAGAAGAGCGAGAGTTGGGCGAGAATTATCGAGGCCTGGCCCACGGGGAGGAGAGACTCCCAGAAATTTTTTAGGGGGGGGCTCACGACGTCGGACCAGCAGGAGGCCGCGATAGAGCGGCCCAGTGGGTTGCCAGAGGAGGCCGCCAGGTTACGGGGGCCACTGGTCGAAGAGGGGATGGAGGATGTAGAGCCACGGCGAGAGGTACTGGCGTGTGTTGCCAGTCCGGTCCGGCCCGTTCCAGATCCCGGTGTAGGGCCAGTGGTGTGTGTCCCCAGTACGGTCCGGTCCATTCCTGCTCCCCGCACCAAGTCTGTGGTGCGTTTCGTCAGCCCTGTCCGGCCCGTTCCTGCTCTCCGCACCAAGTCTGTGGTGCGCGTCGCCAGCCCAGTCCGGCCCATTCCTGCTCCCCGCACCAAGTCTGTGGTGCGTTTCGTCAGCCCTGTCCGGCCCGTTCCTGCTCTCCGCACCAAGTCTGTGGTACGCGTCGCCAGCCCAGTCCGGCCCATTCCTGCTCCCCGCACCAAGTCTGTGGTGCGTTTCATCAGCCCTGTCCGGCCCGTTCCTGCTCTCCGCACCAAGTCTGTGGTGCGCGTCGCCAGCCCAGTCCGGCCCATCCAAGCTCCCCGCACCAAGTCAGTGGTGCGCTTCGTCAGCCCGGTCCGGCCCGCTCCTGCTCCCCACACCAAGCCAGTGGTGTGCGTCGTCGGTCCGGCACGGCCCGTGCCTGTTCCACTGGTCCGGCACCGGTCAGATGCGTTACGCCGGAGCTAGAGCAATCCGCTCCATCAGTGTGCAGTCCAGCTCCGGCCAGCGGGGCCAGACCGGACCAGGGGTACTTTGGGGGGTTGGATAGGGAGTGGGGATCAGGCCCGGAGCCGGATCCGCCGCCAAGGCGGAGTGCCCACCCGGTCCCTCCCCTGTGGTATTTAGTTGGCGCGGTCGGAGTCCGCGCCTTTAGGGGGGGGTACTTTCACGCCCTGGCTCTGGGGACACTGTTATGTTGAGCCAGGGTGTGTAATTCTATGTTTGTATTTCTATGTTGGCCTGAGTGACTCCCAATCAGAGGCAACGAGTGTCAGCTGGTTGTCTCTGATTGGGAGCCATATTTAACTGTCTGTCTTTCACTTTGTGTTTGTGGTTTCTTGTTCGTGTTGGTTTGTGTTTAAACCGTAGACGTCACGTTTTCGTTTGTTGTTTTGATCGTGTGATCATTAAATAAATATAAATATGTTCACCTTCAACGCTGCGCATTGGTCCTCCTCCTTAGACGATCGTGACAATCGCTGGATTCGAACTTGCAACCTTTGGAATCAGAGGCAGATGTTTAGATGTTTAGGTTTGGTTTGGGATAGGCTTAAAACAAAAATATCATGGACGTCGAATACTGACTTGTATCACGGGTGACCTGGCTGAGCAGCCAGTGATTCGGCACAGTGCAGTGCACCCCAGCTGAGCTATCACACAGCAGCTCTAGGTGTTCTAGCCAATGTCTGTGTGCTGTGTGAATGCCGGCAAACATGATTTATGTTCGTATGTTAGTGTGTGTGTTTGTTTGTGTTACCAGTTTGCTTGTTTGTGTGATGAGTGTGTGTTCAATTGTATGTGTACACACATAGAGCCTAGAAGTCGTCTTAGTGCTCAGTGAGTGTGGGTTCAGTTGGTCTGGTCCTGAAACGCTTCTCTCCTCACACCCCTGCGACTGGCACTGGTCACACACACAGTAATGGTAGGAGAGCGTGTGTAACCATATAAAACTGCTAAAACTGAGTTGTGTGTGCATGCGTGCGTGCGTGTGCGCGTGTGTGTGTGTGTGTGTGTGTGTGTGTGTGTGTGTGTGTGTGTGTGTGTGTGTGTGTGTGTGTGTGTGTGTGTGAGTGATCCTGAGTCATAGGTGCTTCAGTGTAGACTCAGCAGTATTGACATTACTCTACTCTGCAGCATACACACTCATTTAGCGTTTAGCATACTGTACAGTAGGCTACTATACTCAGATGTCCCAGGTTCAATACCTGGCATCAGAGTTGCTCACTTTAATTGTACTATAACACAGGTAACAGAGGTCCTGTTTCCTGTTTTAGTGCCAGTACTGAGGCATTAGAATATTTGAGGTTCCCGTTCTCCATAGCAGTCAGCACCGACCCACTTCAACCATTGATGGTCAGTCACACGTCCAGTGTTGATGGTACTTAGACTTTGAGAGACCAAATTACCCTTTCCTACTTACCATTGGACCATGATGTGCTCGTTGGGACTTTGACTGTAGTCCATAATCCTGAGTTCAGGCTCAAGTTTAATCTTGGGGTCAGACTTCAGGTTAGGGGTCAGAGGTCAGGGATGAAGGTCATCTGAGAGCCCTAGAAGCAGTATGAGTGGTTATCAATCTTCTAGCAAGCTGAATGTGAATTCCAAATGCTTTTACATGGAACTACTTATTTTCCTATTAAAGTAAGCAGTGTGGAGCCTGTAGTAGCAGTATGGGACTTCCGCTTGTATCATGTTATACAGTATAACCTTATGCATCTCTCCCTATTAGCCCAGTTACTGCTGCTACTGCTGCTGTACTGTGGAGCCAGGAGTTCATTTAAGCATTTTAATGACTGCTTTCCCCTAGATTAGAGAGAAAGAGTGAGAGTATGAGTGAGAGTGAGAATGTGTGTGTATGTGTGTCTGTGTGTGTGGCCTGCTGCCTTGTGTGTGTGCGTTTGCGTGTCTGCATGTATTGTGGGTAATAACATTGTTTGCTATGTTTTGAAGATGAATTATTGCTCCTGAATTCAAACAATGTAACCTCATTACCACTTTAACACAAACACACTGTCTGTTGCACTGAACACAAGAGCCACCCTCAGATGGAAGTCATCAGCAAGGAAACAACCCAGGGAAATAGAAAACAAAAATCAGTGCTGCTCTTATTTCTCCTACTATTTACTGAAATACTCCCTGGACACACAAACACATACACACTCTCAGGCGCACATACATACACACACACACACACACACACATACATGATTGTATAGATTAAAAATGTATGTAGATTTGGTATACAATTCAGTCTACACTCTTAGAAAAAAAGGGTGTATCTAGAAACTAAAAGGGTTCTTCAGCTGTCCCAATAGGAGAACCCTTTGAATAACCCTTTTTGGTTCCAGGTAGAACCCTTTTGAGATCCATGTAGAACCCTTTACACAGAGGGTTCTATTTGGAACCCAAAAGTGTTCTACCTGGAACCAAAAATGGTTCAACCTGGAACCAAAAAGGGTTCTCCTATGGGGACAGCCAAAGCACCCTTTAAATAATGTTTTTCTAAGACTGTATGACTGTGAGTTACTAATAAACACTGCTGCAACTTAAAAAATATATATACAGTACCAGTCAAAAGTTTGGACACACCTACTCATTCCAGAGTTTTTCTATATTTATTACTATTTTCTACATTGTAGAATAATAGTGAAGACATCAAAACTATGAAATCACACATATGGAATCATGTAGTAACCAAAAAAGTGTCAAACAAATCAAAATATATTTTATATTTGAGATTCTTCAAAATAGCCACCCTTTGCCTTGATGACAACTTTCACACGCTTGGCATTATCTCAACCAGCTTCATGAGGTAGTCACCTGGAATGCATTTCAATTAACAGGTGTGCCTTGTTAAAAGTTAATTTGTGGAATTTCTTTCCTTCTTAATAAGTTTGAGCCAATCAGTTGTGTTGTTACAAGGTAGGGTTGGTATACATAAGATAGCCCTATTTGGTAAAAGACCAAGTCCATATTATGGCAAGAACAGCTCAAATAAGCAAAGAGAAACGACAGTCCATCATTACTTTAAGACATGAAGGTCAGTCAATTCGGAAAATGTCAAGAACTTTGAAAGTTTCTTCAAGTGCAGTCGCAAAAACCATCAAGCGCTATGATGAAACTGGCTCTCATGAGGACCGCCACAGGAAAATAAGTCCCAGAGTTACCTCTGCTGCAGAGGATACGTTAATTAGAGTTACCAGCCTCAGACATTGCAGCCCAAATAAATGCTTCACAGAGTTCAAGTAACAGACACGTCTCAACATCAACTGTTCAGAGGAGACTTCGTGAATCAGGCCTTCATGGTCGAATTGCTGCAAGGAAACCACTACTAAAGGACACCAATAAGAAGAAGAGAATTGCTTGGGCCAAGAAACACGAGCAATGAACATTAGACCGGTGGAAATCTGTCCTTTGTTCTGAAGAGTCCAAATTTGAGATTTTTGGTTCCAACCGCTGCGTCTTTGTGAGACGCAGAGGTGATCTCTGCATGTGTGGTTCCCACCGTGCAGCATGGAGGAGGAGGTGTGATGGTGTGGGGGTGCTTTGCTGGTGACAATGTCTGTGATTTATTTAGAATTCAAGGCACACTTAACCAGCATGGCTACCACAGCATTCTGCAGCGATACGCCATCCCATCTGGTTTGCACTTAGTGGGACTATCATTTGTTTTTCAACAGGACAATGACCCAACACACTTACAGGCTGTATAAGGGCTATTTTACCAAGAAGGAGAGTGATGGAGTGCTGCATCAGATGACCTGGCCTCCACAATCCCCCGACCTCAACCAAATTGAGATGGTTTGGGATGAGTCGGACCGCAGAGTGAAGGAAAAGCAGCCAACAAGTGCTCAGCATATGTGGGAACTCCTTCAAGACTGTTGGAAAAGCATTCCAGGTGAAGCTGGTTGAGAGAATGCCAAGTGTGTGCAAAGCTGTCATCAAGGCAAAGGGTGGCTACTTTGAATAATCTAACATCTAAAATATATTTTGATTTGTTTAACAGTTTTTTGGTTACTACATGATTCCATATGTGTTATTTCATAGTTTTGATGTCTTCACTATTATTCTACAATGTAGAAAATAGTACAAATAAAGAAAAACCCTTGAATGAGTAGGTGTGTCCAAACTTTGACTGGTACTGTATATATATGTTTTATTGTCGCATACACCAGATAGGTGCAGTGAAATGTTTTGCTTTACAGGGTCAGCCATAGTAGTACAGTGCACCTGGGGCAAATGAGTGTTAAGTGCCTTGCTCAAGGACACATCAACAGATTTTTCACCTTGTCGGCTCAGGTATTCAAACCAGCGACTTTTCGGTTACTGGCCTACCACTCTAACAGCTAGGCTACCTGCCGCCCTACTCTGGGTCAGCGATCCAATCATACTATGGTTTATCATGATAATCTATATTATAATATGCGAAGCTTGCTAAAAGCTGCATGAGTGTATACTCTCCTAAAATGTTTAGCACATTTTTTTCATTTAAGGCTCAGAAGAAGCGCATCATCCTGTGACATGAATGTATATTCCACTGTGTTTTGTATTTTGGTTTATTTGTGTTTGGAATGGCACGTGAGATTCAGCTGTCACAATGCAAATGATGTTAAAAGACCACTATTGTGTCATGTCAATGCCATTTTGACGTCATTTCACTCCCAAGTAGGCAAAGCCTATAAAAACGATATTCCAGCCGCTCAGCAGGTATAACAATAATCATGCCCAGACTCAGACGATTCACTTCTCGCCCAGTCCGCAGGAGAAGTACAGCCACTCGGACCTTGAGGCCCAGGAGGAGAGTTGGCAGGAGGAAACGTTAGGTCCCTTACAAGCCAACAGGTCCCTGTTAGGTAAGTGTCCTTTGGGCTGCAATGCTCACTGGGCAAAAGTCTTCTAAAGAATTTGGCTGTATTTAGCCTACAAATATAGATTTGATGTACAGTACCAGTCAAAAGTTTGGACACACCTACTCATACAAGGGTTTTTGTTTATTTTTTACTATTTTCTACATTGTAGAATAATAGTGAAGACATCAAAACTATGAAATAACACATATGGAATCATGTAGTAACCAAAAGTGTTAAACAAATCAAAATATATTTTAGATTTTAGATTGTTCAAAGTAGCCACACTTTGCCTTGATGACAGCTTTGCACACTCTTGGCATTCTCTCAACCAGATTCATGAGAAATGCTTTTCCAACAGTCTTGAAGCAGTTCCCACATATGCTGAGCACTTGTTGGCTGCTTTTTCTTCACTCTGCGGTCAACTCATCCCAAACCATCTCAATTGGGTTGAGGTCGGGTGATTGTGGAGACCAGGTCATCTGATGCAGCACTCCATCACTCTCCTTTTTAAAACTTTTTTTTGTTAAAGTTGTATTTATTTTTTCATTTTTCACACAAACATACAAATAAAAGAACATGGTACAGCATAAAAACATTGAGCATGACATCCAGACATATCCTTCAACGTAGCACACATACACAGTCAAATAGTATCTCACAAGCTACAATACAGAACCAAATGGGTTCACAAGCATAAGTAATTACTTCCCAGTCTTAGAAACATGACAAATAAAACGTGTCCAGCTTCTAGAATTGTCATTTCTACCAGTGATCCTAGCAAGCATTTGTTCATAAGATGCTACCTCCAACATTGATTCTATCCACTGTTGCAGAGTAGGAGTGACATGACCCTTCCAAATTCTAAGGATTACTCTAGCTGCTGTAATGATACCAACAGTGATCAGTGCAAATTCCTCATTTGTTACATTAGGTAACTCTGTTCTATCGCCCAAGAGACATATTCTCGGTGAAACTGGAATTCTTAACCCCAACCATTCCTCCAGATATTTCAAAACATCCTTCCAGAAAGGTAGCACTAATGTACATTCCCATATTGCGTATTTTTGGCATTTCTAACACAGAGAATTGTTGGTCAGACCCATCTTATGAAGCGTTGTTGGGGTCCAATAAAACCTACGTAGTTTCCCCCTGGCTTCCCTTATGTTCCTTCCTGAGCTGGACAATATCTTCAACCAGGTATCATCCTCAATTTCACACTTAAGGTCAATTTGCCATATTGTTCTGAGGTTTTTACAGTCTTTACTCTGCAGATGACTAAATATTGAGTAAAAAAGTGCTGCTTTGTGTTTGGGTAATTCCAAATGCTCAGCAATTGGGTTCTTTCCTGGATTTTGTTGATAGCCGGTTAACAAACATCTCTCAATTGTAAATATCTCCAGAAATGTCCGTTGTCTCTCACATCATATTTTTTTTAACCAAATCTGAGTATGACATTAAAACATCTTCATTGTACAGATCACCTATAGTATGAATTCCTTTCATTAGCCACTGTTTCCAGTACACAGACTTCTTTCCTATCCGTAGCCTAGGATTGTGCCACAATGATAAGTATCCTGTTTTAGATGTGAAATTCCACATATCTTGTGTACTGTTCTCCACACCTCTTTTGAGTGTAACAAAATTGGGTTGGGAGTTTCAACATACCTCTCCCCTGTAACACTATGTGACAGAGTATCAACAGGGGTGAAATGATAACTTAGTTCCCGTTCTATGGTTATCCAATCCAAGTCAGCAACCCTTTTACCCCAATGATTCGCCAATTTAGCCATTTCAAATGATAAACTGTACAATTTAACAGCTGGTAAAGCCAATCCTCCTACATCCCTTGGTGAGCACATCTTCTTCATATTAATCAGATTTCTTTTCCTATCCCAGAAAAAGTATTTAGTTAATTTGTCATATTGTTTAAAATACCGGTCTGGAATATTCATAGGTAACATTGCAGAGATATAATTAAATTGTGGGACCACAACCATTTTAATCACGTTAATCTTTCCCCATAAAGAAAGTTGTATCTTTTCCCATTTTTCTAAATTGGTCTTAATCTTTACTAGTAGGGGCTCAAAATGTAGTCCCATCACTTCCTCCAAATTTGAGCTCAATGTAATACCCAAATATTTCATCCCAGTAGGAATCCATTTGAAATTAAATGGGGTAACGGTTCCAGAGTAACACATGGCATTAATTGGCATTGTTTCCGACTTATTCCAATTAATTTTGTAGCCTGACATGCTAGAATATGATTCAATACAAGTAAGTAATGGTGGTACAGACTGAAGAGAATCAGAGACCAGCAGTAGAATATCATCTGCATACATAAGCAGCTTCTGTTCTTTTCCTCCTCCATGTACACCCCTCATTTCTGGATCTGTTCTTATCATTGTCGCAAGAGGCTTTAAAACTATGGTAAACAGGAAAGGGGAGAGCGAGCAACCCTGCCTTGTGCCTCAAGAAAGACAAAAAAATGAGGCATAATTCCATTCGTAAGTACTGTTGCTTTAGGATTGGAATAGAGGACCCCTATCCATTTACAAAAGTCAGGTCCAAAACCAAATTTTTCTAGGGTTCTTAAGAGAAAAGCCCACTCTACCCTATCAAATGCCTTCTCAGCATCCAAGGAGACAGCAGCGGTAGGAACTATATTTGAGCGGTTTAACCCCATGAGATGTAAGAGGCTCCTCATATTATCAGTTGAGGTCCTGTTCTTAATTAATCCTACTTGGTCACTATGTATAATATTAGGTAGTGCCTTCTCTAAGCATATTGCAATGGTCTTAGTAAGAATCTTACAATCCACATTAAGGAGGCTGATAGCTCTAACATTCCAAGATTCTGTAGTATCTCTATCCTTTTTGGGAATCAGTGATATCAAAGCCTCATTAAAGGTGTCCGGAAGGGAGCCATTTTTAAATGCCTCCTGGTAAACCACTGTCAATACAGGTTCAAGAATGTCAATATACTTTTTATAATATTCTACAGGAAGGCCCTCCAGACCAGGTGACTTCCCTGCTTTCATAGATAAAATGGCGGCTCTAACCTCCTCTTCTGTTATAGTACAGTCCAGGTCCTCTACCTGGCTATCTGATAATCTACGTAATTCTATACCAGAAAATAAATATTCCATATCTATGGGGCTCGCTGAACAGGAGGATGTATATAAATCTTAATAAAAACGTTGAAACACACTGTTTATCTCTTTGGATGAGGTCACCATCTTATTGGAACCCAAATTAGATATCAAGAAGAGATCTATTCTGGAGTGTGTCTTATGACAGTGGGAGAAAAAAGTATATTCTCTATCATTAGAATGGACTATTTCCATATGTCTGTAAGGCCCATATCTTCTGCTAACATATGTATTACAAGTCTATCCTTTGGCGTGGAGTTAGCTGTACATTTACTTATATCAATCATATTGTTCATCACTTGGTTAAAGTCTCCAACATAGACGATCTGCCCCTCCATATTTCCCAGCATAACATTGACCTCATGAAAAAATTCAGGGTCCTCCTTGCTGGGAGCATATATGTTGCATAACACTACCTTAATCCCATTTATAAGAGCCTCAATGCAGATGAGCCTGCCAAACTCATCAGAGTGTTGCTTCAACATTACAAAATTAAGTATTTTGCTTATCAGAATAATCACCCCATTTTGTTTGGAAGAAAATGAGCTATGATAAACTTCTGCAACCCAGCCTCCTCTAAATAGCAGTGCCTCTGTATCTGTTAAATGTGGTTCCTGTATGAACACAATATCCGCCTGTTTTGATTTTAAATATGTCAAATAAAAATGTTTCCTCTTCACTTGGTTACCACAACCATTTACATTCCAAGAGATTATGTTTACATAACCATTAACCAAATTTGAGCTGAGTAGTTATAGCTTGTGAGCGTGAAGTGTCCCATTTAACACACGTGACAACTCTAATGAACATCATTATATAACATTTCACAATATATGCTCCAGCTGTACAATAAAACAGTGTAAATAAACATAAAAAAACAAATCCCAAAATAAAACAAAGCAACTAGGAACGTAATGATGCTTCTCGATGAGTCAACCATCACAGAACTGTCTTTGATGCTGCAGAAGTTAACCTGCAGTCTCAACTCAAAATTCCTTATGGTCCGTGAGGTGCTTGAAAGGCTAAATTAGCAACACTCCCCAGAGTCCCGCAAACACGGAGGCTACCTTCATTTGTAAAGTTAAAGGTATACAATTCAACTTGTATTTTACCTTGTCTCGTCTTCTTTATCTAGGCTAAACACCGTGCTCTAGCAAGAATCTCTCTGCCTCCACGTTGTCCTTGAAAATAATTGTATTTTCCTTCCAAGTAAAGAGCAGGGTCACTGGGAATGCCAGTGTGTGCCTGCCGTTCTTCTCTTGTAGTTGTTTCTTCGCTGTTGCAAACGTCTTCCTTTTCATTGCCAGTTCCTTGGACAGGTCCGGGAAAAAAGACAGCCGGTGGCCTTCCCACTGAACGCCACCCTTTTCTTTAGCTGCTTTAACTACCTTGTCCCGGGCTGTAGATCGTAGGAAGCGGATGAGAACCGTTCTCAGGGGCCTATTCTCGTCAGGCATGGTTAAACTGCGATGGGTTCATTCAATTTTGAATTCGTACCTGTCATCAAATCCAAATCCTTCTG